CATACTGTGGAAAGTACAGAAAATCTTTTTATACACACAAACCATGAAAAAATGGGCGTTTACCACTACAAAAGGTTCTACAGTCTCTACGTAAAAGAATAAAATGGACACAAATCAGATGTCAAGAATTATAACATTCATAAACCAGTTGGAAAACACTTCAATCTCTCTGGTCACGCGATTACAGACATGAAAGTTGCGATATTACAACAGAAAAACTTCAAAACCAGACTCCAGCGAGAGACTGTTGAATTGGAATTCATTTGCAAATTGGATACAATTAACTTAGGCTTGTGTTATACCAATAAAATAAAAACCAGCAGGATCTTATTAATGGGAAAAAGGCAAAATACCACATTTATTGTGAATACAGAAAGAATCATAGTAAGCAGTTAGTTATAGCTATAACATTCCATTCAATCTCATATTTATTCACACATTCATTCATACACACACACACACAGGTTCTGCAAGGTTGTTATCATAGTTACCAGCCTTAGAGTTGCTCATGCCAAGCCACTGGACAGGTGGCCTGGACATGAGGAGGGAGCAGGGCCTTGTCAGATGCTCATCTGATGCTCCTGGAAGTTGGTTTGCAGAATCAGACCCCAAAGTTCTCACTTTTTATAGTCTATTTGTATAGGAATTTTTTCCTATGCCAGTCTATGGGAATTGCTTCATCATGCTGTTGCTGAATCAATCAGCAGATAGCACATTCCTGACGGCTCCGTGCTGCTAGATGTTATCTTGTTCTTTGGTTCTCCCATTCTTGAGGCTGTTGAGTGGATTCCAGTCTGCCCTCTGGGGGTCCTCTGGTTATTTCCACTTGATGCCTTCTTCAGCCGATGGACACTGGATTCTTAGGCTGGCACCTCCCTGATCATTCAGTTATTATCCACACCAAGCATCCATTCACTTACATTCTCTATCTCTATTTTAATCACAATTGTTAATACAACAAAAGGGCAGGGAGTCTCTGGGTGCTGTTTCTGTTGTTAGAGTATTGCTTTGAGTCTCTCTCTCTCTGTGAATTGCTTTGAGACAGACTCTGTCTTAGAATGTACTAACACAATTAGCAGATTGCAAGTTTCACACACAGAAGGAGAGAAACAGTACCAAAAAACAAGAGACCTCTTAATTAGTAATACCCTGGAATTTAAACTATGGGGAATCAAACTCATTTGTGATTTTAATACAGAACTTCTTTAATATGATCCAACACTTGAATAGAGACTGGGAGTGGCTAAGCCATTATGCAAGGTAACCTATTTCCCCTTGTTTTGTCCCACCCCTCCCCCCTCCCAGACATTCTGTTAAACCCTGGATTTGTGCTGGAAATGGCCCACCTTGATTATCATACACATTGTAAGGAGAGTGATCACTTTAGATAAGCTATTACCAGCAGGAGAGTGGGGTGGGGGGAGAGAAAACCTTTTGTAGTGGTAAACACCCATTTTTTCATGGTTTGTGTGTATAAAAAGATCTTCTGTACTTTCCACAGTATGCATCCGATGAAGTGAGCTGTAGCTCACGAAAGCTTATGCTCAAATAAATTGGTTAGTCTCTAAGGTGCCACAAGTACTCCTTTTCTCTTTGAAAGCTGCTAAGTGAGGTATTTGCACTATGCATCTTCATTTTCCATGCTAGCTACCTGGAGGTGTCGTCATCCTATGGAAATGTCTTGGTAACAGAGTGGAATAAACTTCAATGCACTCAAGCAGGGATTTAAAAGGTACGTCACCTTTCAGATGTGCCTCATGACAGACATCGCTCACTTTAGACCCAGGTTTTCCTCTTTCCCACACAACGCTGTTGTTCTCTCTCTGGTTAGTACATTGTTACTATCAGAAATGTTGGCTCTTCAAAGGAAAGTTTACTGAAAATGTAGGGCACACTAAAGAAAGGAAACCTTATCATTTCCACTCCCTCTGCTGCCAATCCTTTGCTCCTAGTGTCCCCCCCTTTGGGGTGTCTGTACCACATTTCATAAGGGCAAGGCCTAGGAGTCGGAAGGGTCAGTATGTGTTCGTTAAATACCCGTGCTGCATTCTACTCTGACCCAGAGGCGGATTAGGGGTTTGTGGGACCCTGGGTCAGAGTAAGTGGAAGCCCCTCCCCACCCCTTTCACCTGGAGTCCCTCCCGCTCCCCCTCCTGGTGCTCCTGCCAGAGAAATAGGGTTTGGGGCATGGGGGCTTGCCCTGCCCTGCCTTGCCTGCCCGGGGCTCCTGACAGGGAGTGGGGTCGGGGCATGGGGTCTTGCTCCACTCCCCGACAGGAGCGCTGGGTGGAGTGGGTCAGGGCATGGGGGTGCCCATTTTTCCAGGGGCCCCCCAGGCATGGGCCCCATTGGCCCAGTGGCTAATCCAACACTGCTCTGACCTATTTTGTGACTGGATTCCAGCTGCACAGAAATAGCCCCAAGTAACTGGTTCATGATGGCAGAAACCTGGTTTCCTCACAGACTGGCAATGCTCGGGGGGTAGAGAAGTTCACAGGGAAGTAGAGGAAGCGTTTCTAGAAACAGGCTGGTCTTTCCCAGCTTGCAGCATCTGTGTTTATTATACCCAATATTCTGGGGAAAGAAGAACGTACCCAATACCAAAGGAGGTTAGTATATTACCTACCACCTTGCCCTTTTTTAGCTCCCCTACACCAAAAGGGTCACAAAGTACTTCATCAACGTTCAACAACTAAGCTTCATGGCACGGAGGGGCAGCATTATTCCAATTTCACGGATATTTGCTTGCTCCTTTTGCACAGAGAAGAAATTACATCAGAAGAGAGCATGAAGCAAGTGTTAGTCATTGCATGCGACAGTCACACATACACACTATCCTCGTCTGTCTGGCCACACTGTGACTCACACAGCCAGCAGGCGTAAAGCCTTCTCAGAAATGAAGAGCTTTAAAAAGCTCCAGAGGAACCATTTAGAAAAAAACCAACGTTTTCTATAATTGTATTCCTGGTGGTTTCAAAGCTCACTGCTAATCACAAAACAACTTGCATCAGAGGTCTGCAAGCTGAACTGGTGCAGAACTAACTCCATGCAGCTTGTGCACACTTAGCTGCAGAGTCTAGTTTTTCAAAGCCCCCCCCCCCCCTCTCTCTCGGAGCTGAGAGCCCCTTGGCTCGTTGAGTTTCAAAGCCTCCTTCCGCTAGCCACAGACCCGAGAATGGAAAGTACGTTGTAATAAGAGTGGGAGGAGCTCTCTGAAGCTCTACATAAGAATAGCCAATCCTACAGCACTCTGACCTCCTGAAAGGAGAATTAAAGAGCCGTTTCTCTCCCCCTTTACAGTTTTTCCTTAGTGATTAACTGATTTATTTTTGCCTCAGAAGATTTCAGGGTAGGAGGTTAAATGATTACACTTGCTCTGACTCAGCATTAGGCTAACTGTAGCTCCTAATAATTTATTGCTCTGGTCTTCTTCAGAGGGCTTTGGAAGCAGATTCCCTTAGAAAAGTGAGCTCTCCACCTCAGTTTATTGTGAGTTATGGTTTGTTTACAGAGGATGTTAATCCTGCTGGTGTGATAGATACACCTTTAGCTTCCTCCACCTAAGAGCTCAACTTGTAAAATGTGAAGAATCAATAAAATAAATGAATGTGTAAAACATTTACGATTCTGCATGGACCTGCCTTTCAAGCTACATGGCTCTATGGGGAGACAGGAACTAAGGAAACAGAACTTTTCCCAGCACCAGGAAATCCTGCTACAGCTTCTTGCCCTTAGTGCTGCCACTAGCAATGCATACAACTTTCAAGTGATCTTGTCACCTTCACCAGTAAGAGGCAGCAGACGGTGATGCCCGGGGACGTGTGATCTAGTAGCTAGAGCAGGGGTCTGAGAATGAACAGGGAGAGTCAGCTGAGAAAGTGGTAAGAACACCAGACAGTCATATACCACCAGGGTGGGGAAAAGGGAAAGAAATCAATCCACAAAAGTATCACTTCAGCAAAAGGACAGAGTCGATTCATCTCTGTATGACAACTTGCCTGGTTTCCCTGTTCCGCCTCCAGGCAGAGATCTGAAATGGCAGGTCTTGTTTTGCCTAATCTGCCATATTACGTACTCACTTTCCCCAACATTTTAGTATTAAAATGCTTCTTTGAACATTGCCTTTGGCTGTTCCCTCTGATCAAAGATGCATTGGAAACCAAGATGATGCATTTACAACTTCAAAGATGGATGCGGGAATTGGCTGGAGGTCTCTGTCACATTTCAGTGCTCATGAAAACAAGGGTCCGATAGCACTGGTTTGAGCCTGGCCTAGGGCAAGCAGAGACTGCGCCCAACTCTGCCAACACTCTCCAACCCTGACTCAGAGCACAACCCTGACAACCCGCTCCAGGAGTGTGTATGTGGAGTTCTAGAAACCCCTGAGACAAACTCTTTCAGTGAAACGTCCCTGGTGCACTGGATACCATATGGAAAATTTTCAAGCTACCACTTTTTTTTAATACAGAGGACTAAATTTCTCTTCCTGCTTTCCAGCAGAATTTCACAGCATGCATCTCACCCTGTCTGAGGTGGTCAGCATGTGAAAATCAACATAAACTTAGCAACCATTTGGAGCATGACAGAAGTCCACAGAAGGGAACAGGAAGTTGTTTAAGAAGGGTGAAAATGGCAGAGGTTGTATTAGCCCCTGCATCTTCAAGAAGCTCTGATATGCAGTGCTCAGCAGCTCTCATTTGAAGAAGAGCACACCTGTGGGGAAGGGATGCCATATATATTTGCATTTCTAAGTCACAGTTTCAATAAGAAACAGCTTGGAGTGCAGCTGTTAGCAAAGCATACAACTTTCAAGTGACTTTGCCACCTTCCGTTCAGATACAGGTTAATGGTTCTGAGGCTGTCAAAATGCCAAGATTTGCTACCTTTGCTATGACAGAAGCCGCAGCACTGAGCTTAATGTTTCAGCTTGAATACCTCTTAACACACCTCCCAAAGTGACACACACTGTCTTGCATACAAGCCAACCTCATGCCATCAGAAACTTTGAACAATGCTTTATACACCTTTAATTCCAAAGCACTTCCCAGATAGATTGCCTGAAATGCAGTCACATGTGGGATTGAGGATAACAGTGCAGAAGAGAACATTTTTCTGGCCACAAACACTAGGACAAAGTTCTGTTCTCACAAAAAGTACTTGGTATCTTATACTGTCAGTACACAGCAGACAGGTCCTGTGGTTGGAAAAGTATCATCCAAAAGTTCTACACATATTGAGCTGCATGGAACTAAGTTTTCCTGTCTCACAAGCATGAAGGGCTAAATTGACTCAAATGAAATTTTAACCTGGCCTTCCAGAGAGAAATTTCAAACCTGAGGCTTCGATTACAAAACCATCCCATCGAGGATACACACCCCCAATCTCTCTCACACACACATCCTCTTTTTAAGCATTGTAGGAAGAAAGTATCAGGCAGAAGAAGTTGAACAGAAATTATTTCTTCAAAGGAAATACTTTGTACGCACAAAACACAGACTGAAACACAGTGTTTGATGAGACATGTTAATACGGATTACTTTTCCATCTCAACATTAGTGGCACCATAGAATGAAGAATTCCGTTACAGATGGGAGCAATGACGGGATCCCAATGCCGAGAACATGCTACAGTCTCTTGGCTTGTCCTTTTCTAGTGGCCTCCTCTCATTTACTGGTTGATGGGATGTAATGGCAACTGCTCCTCCAGTTCTGCTGAGTTTGCTTGCGCCCGTGACATCTTGTCCCGCACTCTCTTCACTGTAACACGAGACATAACAATGGTGGCCCTTAGTTAGTAGGGAGATGACAAAGATAAGGAAGAGGGTATTGAGCTGGTCCTAGGGCTATTGCAGGTTTACATAAAACTAAAAAAATTCTATTTGAGGCATTTTTGAAGTGCTGTAAACCTCCCCATCCCACTCCCTTTAGGCCAGCAGTTGGAGACCAACCAAAGATGGAACAGTGAAAGGGTCGGGTTAATCCTGATGGGGCTCCTACACAAGACCTGGCAGATTAAGCAAACAATATATTTTCATTGAAAGGAACAAATCTCTGTTTTCAGTGCAGGGCTCCTTAACCACGCACAGGTATGCTGCACCACAGCTCAAGACAGGAGGTGGTGAAGGGGGATGGGACTGTATCCACTTGAAAGTGCGGAGGATGTTCAGGCAAGTAGAATGTGATTCTACAAGTTAGAATTTGGCCACGATGCCAAGGTTAACACCCCGACTCTTGCTGAATGTGCCCTGGGACCTTTAACACCACACTGGGGCTGGACCTTAGTTTTACATTTCCCATAAAAGGAAACACCTGGGCCATTGGTTTAGTTTGGACCTGAAGGCACTTAACTGAATCCTCAACAGTGTTTATTGCAGAACATTATTTTTCTTAAGGCGTCCTCCATTCAAGTACGGAACAGACCCAAGCTTACTTGGATTGTGCACGCTGACCAGATCACAAATGAAGGTGCGATGGCTGCAAGACACTTGATAGACAGCAGTTTCACAGGGTGTATCGGGGGTGAGGGCAAATCCACCTGAAATTTCTGGCACACAGAGTCCACCAAAGAGATAACAGGCGAAGTGCATAAAGCATTTGCCCAGCAGGTAGTAGAAAAGGGGCTGACATCCTCTGCTCAGCCCTGGGATATTTTACCTAGGGATTCTATTTCCAAGTCTCTGGAGTTCCCAGGATCCTCCTTGATGACTCCCAGCTCCTTTTCCCAGTTGGCCCAGTTAATCTCCTCCACTCTGGAGACAGAAAATAGAACAATTTCCCCCATCAGCCAGTAGACAATGAGGCACTGGGGCAAAACATACTGACCATACAGCTGCATACCAAGGCTGCATCTGTGGCATCCCAGTGACATCCATTCCGATGGATTTCAGAGTAACAGCCGTGTTAGTCTGTATTCGCAAAAAGAAAAGGAGTACCTGTGGCACCTTAGAGACTAACCAATTTATTTGAGCATGAGCTTTCGTGAGCTACAGCTCACTTCATCGGATGCATACCGTGGAAACTGCAGCAGATTTTATATACACACAGAGATCATAAAACAATACCTCCTCCCACCCCACTGTCCTGCTGGTAATAGGTTATCTAAAGTGATCATCAAGTTGGGCCATTTCCAGCACAAATCCAGGTTTTCTCACCCCCTCACCCTCAGTCCTCGCTTACAGACAGCCCCCCAACCTGAAGCAAATACTCACCAGCAACCACACAACAAAAACACTAACTCAGGAAGCTATCTTTGCAACGAAGCCCGATGCCAACTCTGTCCACATATTTATTCAAGTGACACCATCATAGGACCTAATCACATTAGCCCCGCCATCAGGGGCTCGTTCGCCTCCACATCTACCAATGTGATCTATGCCATCATGTGCCAGCAATGCCCCTCTGCCATGTACATTGGCCAAACCGGACAGTCTCTACGTAAAAGAATAAATGGACACAAATCTGACATCAGGAATCATAATATTCAAAAACGGGTAGGAGAACACTTCAACCTCTGTGGCCACTCAGTAAAAGATTTAAGGGTGGCAATTTTGCAACAGAAAAGCTTCAAAAACAGACTCCAAGGAGAAACTGCTGAGCTTGAATTAATATGCAAACTAGATACCATTAAATTGGGTTTGAATAGAGACTGGGAGTGGCTGGGTCATTACACATACTGAATCTATTTCTTTAATAAGTTAAGTATCCTCACACCTTCTTGTCAACTGTCTAAATGAGCCATCTTGATTATCACGATAAAAGTTCCTTCTCCTGCCGATAATAGCTCATCTTAACTAATTAGCCTCTCAGTTTGCATGGTAACTTCCAACTTATCTGTGTGTATATTACTATATGTTCCATTGCATCCGATGAAGTGAGCTGTAACTCACGAAAGATTATGCTCAAATAAATTGGTTAGTCTCTAAGGTGCCACAAGTCCTCCTTTTCTTTTTGCGAAGACAGACTAACACGGCTGCTATTCTGAAACCTAGATAATTGAGTGTCCATAGGTGCATTTCTCATTCATATACATACATATAGATACATACACACAGATATGAACAAACCAGCTCCCCATTCACACACAAGGCCAACACACAGAATTCAGAATGTGGGCAGCTGCCTCCACTTTCTATCTTACCTGAAACACCATCTCTGATCTTCCTTATCATCAAGGCTCACAGACAAGAAGCAGCCAGATCTCTGCCTTCTTCTTGGGCACCACAGCCAGGACTTCTCTATTTCCAGAATGGCAATGGCTCTCTGAGGGTACAAGTCCATGTTAGAGAAGAACTGGTGCAGCCAAAACCCAGTCACGGAGCTAGCCTAAGTTCCAGTCAAGTCTTCCCCATCCACCAGTGTCGTGACTGGGAAAGGCACTTTTGTGAATGTTCCTTGGCTCTGTTACTGCTGTCAGGACATACCCTAAAGTCTCCTAGGCCTGTGGGCTTAAGAAATTACTCTAAACTCTGCAATTTTCTAGATAGAGCAAAAGAGGACTGGGTTGCCATCAGTATAAAAGGGGATTTTGGACTCTGACAGATCCTGTAGTTCTCTCTAGCTCCCAGACTGACTAAGCACAGCCTAGCATCACCTTACAAGTCATGGAAGGAGCTGCTAACTGCATTAGAAATTCCTCTAAACTGGGGTAAGCCAACAGAAGGTATAAAAACACAGACAAATCTTCACAGAGCCCCACACACGAGAACAGAAACATCTCAAGTAACAAAGGCATGACACCTGCAAAAGGGTTAAACGTCTGTCTCCTAACATGGTTTTGCTCCCATGGTATGCTCAACCAATGAAAGTATTGTGATGCTGTCGGGGTTTTATCCTGTGTTTTATTGTCACTCAATCTGCGAGGAGAGCTTGCTTGCATGGAGCCTCTGGAAGACCAGAATCAGCTCTCCCAGGTTGAGGAGTTGGAATAAATCTCCCAATAAACTCAGCTGTTAATTTCCCTCAACAAGCACCACAGCGCAGCGTCACTTCCTCTTGTCTCCCAGAGGCAGGGAAGTGACAAAGAAGCACTTAAAATGTACAGTCCCACCCAGTAAGGAGGTCACAGTCTTTACAAGTAGATCTGGAAGGCAGATATCTCAGCACTTTAGATACTAAGGTGATGGGTACTATAGAAACGTGGCGAGAGAAAAATCTCATTACACTTTTAATAAAACTTTAGAGCTCAGTGAAAACGTGCGTCAAATCTGATATCCCAGTGCATGCACAGCGGGAGAGAATTTGTTGCAAATGGCTCTCTCAGGCCCACATTTAGCACATAATATAAGGCCTATATTAGAGACCAGGTGAGTGGTGCAACGGACATACCTGCAGCTTCCAGACACTCTTGCTGTAACCAGAGACACTGGTGACAGTCTCGCTCATCAGGGCGATCAGCATGTTAAGCAGGAGGATGTAGGTCAGGATCACAAACAGCAGCAGCAGCAGCAGGACAAAGTATTTGAATTTCACATGCTCCTGGAACTCCAGGTCCCCCATGCCGATGGTGAACTTGAAGAGCTCCAAGGAGGTGCTCAGCAACCCACTGTACACAACATGGCCTTTATCGCCATCCTCTTGGGTAACAGACTTGTTCTGGGAAGTTGGAGGAGCATCCCCTGTGAGGGTGACCAGAGCTGTAACGAAAGCAGAACAATGAATCTTTCCTGGCAAGTCTCCTCCTGGCAGGTCTACCTGTAACACAGTGCTGAGTCAATCCTCACCTGCTGCAAAGCCAAAGAGGAAGATCACATAAACCATGAGGAAACGCAGCAGGTCCCTCAGGATGGTCTGGAGACAGAGCAAAAGGCAGCGTTATTAATCACCAATAACTTCACATGATATTTTTACAGCACAAAATTACCAGGACAACAGGAAACTAGCGCACCTATCAAATAAATATATTTGGCTCTGCACCAGTTCCGGCAACATTAACTCATTAATCCTCACAGTCCCTCGCAAGGGAGGCAGGTCAGGAAGTATTATTACTCCCATTCAATAGATGAGGATGTGATACAGAGGCCCACTGGTGGTTCACTGCTCTGAGTCACCAACTCCTATTAGGCCTGACAAACTCAGTACACCTAACTCATTGCTGTCATTGTATTTATCTATAAAGAATGTTGTGTGAGGTACCAAAGGAAAGCTTAGGCCATACTGGTCACGATAAGCATTGAGAGATGCAAGTACGGGTGTTATTTTAAAAGTTGTACGTACATACGGAAAATATTTTTAGAATCTGTGTTCCAGGCAGGGTTGATAAGCAGCTTTCACCAGACCTATCCGCCCTGTCTCTCATGTAAATTAAGCATTTTTAAACCAACACACAGGAAGTGCTATTTGCATATGAAGTCACCAAGTTGACTGGTGGGGGGAGGGGGTGAAACAAACATGGGAGAGCACACAGGAATCTGAGCACCAGGGGTTTTCCTGCCTCTCGAAAGGACGACAAACTTTGGAGAAAAAAAAAGGACATTTTGTGATCTATTTCACTGAGGAACATCCTTGGCAGAGGGGGGTGGATCACAACAACCTGGATCCTGAATTGAATGAAGATCAGCAAGCTCTGCATAAGGGCTCTGCATGACGGCGAGAAATGTTTTGAGATACAGGAGAGTAGCCTGTCAAGGTTATGATTAGTCTCTTAGGTGCATGTTATGCTTCTGTTTTATTATAACCATCTGTTTCCATAATTCTTGGTCACTTGAATCTGTGATTCTCTGTTCTTTGAAAATACACTTTTTCTCTTTTTATTATAAATTCATCTCAGGGCTGTGAACTGCTACAACACATCTGGCTACGCCAGCCCTCCCTCCCCCTCTCTTTTTCACTCCCCCCCTCCCCGCATTGCTGATGTACCTCATCTCTGATATGGAGCATCCCCTGCTTCTCCAATCCTGAGCAGCACACACAAATCTGCTTATGTGCCTCAATCCAGACTTTCCAATGCTAGGAAACATCTCCTGAACAGACTCGCACTCTGTGTTTTGTGTTGTGCTTTGTTTATTGGCGGGGGAGGGAGGGTTGTGACAGGCAGGCAAATGTCAGCTACTGTGGGGGACCAGGATGAGTCCCAACAAACTCATTTTTTCTTGTCACCTGAGCCAATATTTGAAAACCTGCTGCAAACTGAGCCACTGGTCTGCCCCATGCAGCATCCCACCTCCGCTGAGAGAATACATTTACTCAAATGGGATGGAATTTCAGTGTCCACAGCCTAAGTATTAGCTCCTTTCATATTTCTGATGGTCCTGACGGGAGAACAGTAACTGCAGCATTTGGACAATGCCTGATATCCCTGACCATCTCTTACAGGCTGTTGCTCCATACTGACCTTCTGTATCATGACGCAATAGATCCCAGTCCACTGGAAGCCCCGAGTGTAGTACAGCATGTTCACCCATCCCAGCAGTAAGGAGAATACCATCATCGGTACATAGTCTTCTGAACTCACAATATACAGGACAGCTGAAAGCAGCAGCGAGATTGCCTGGAGCAAGCTGGGGGAAGGGGAGGAAACAATCAGTCACACAGTGAGCTGAAAGTCTGAACGCCAAATCCTTTTTGTGCCACACTGGGCACAGCCAGCTGCATCTTGCAAGGTTACCCAATGGGGTATAAAGTGGCAGCTAATCAGATCCTGTAGTTATAGGTGAGTTAGTATCTAAATCCATCTGTAACATACTTTCTGCACAAGTATATTGCAGATTCATTAGACATTAGTGAAGTTCACATTACGGAAAATCTCAGATATACTGGGCCTGACTCATCTCTTTTCCACCAGATACATTTACATATACCAGGCCTGATTTCAGTGGAGTTACACGTGTATAACTGGTGTAAAAATGGAGAGAATCAGACCCATCACATATAGAAATATACACACACACAAAAATTATAAAGTCTCTTCCCCTTAACAAAAACACCTCGCTCTCATATAGCGATCTTCAACCATTGATCTCAATGTGCTTTACAAATGGAGGTCAGTGTATTATCCCATTTTACAGACTGGGAAACTGAGGCACGGGAAGATGAAGTGACTTGCCCAAGGCCATGACTTCAATGGGAGCCACTGGTGGAGCCAGAAATGGACCCCAAGTCTCCTGAATCCCAGTCCAGTGCTCTGTCCACTAGGCCACATGGCCAAATCTCAGTCACTAAATGAGCAATTCCACATATGAGTTCATGTTATTATCATCTGTATTACAGTAGCACCTTGATGCCCCAATCAAGGGTCAAGGCTCTATTGCACCAGGCACAGTACAGATGAAAAAAAAAGAGAAAGACCTAGAGAGCTCACAATCTAGAGTTATGACAAGAGGCAACCAGTGGAACAAACAAGCAAAGAGTTGGTTGGAAAGATGACATAACAGCAGAACAAGCATGCTGTGAGAGAGAATGGATCATTTCTGCTCACCACCTGCCTAGCTACCTCTTGCCAGTTCAGTTGCCTCTTAACAGCTGTTTGATTTTATATTAACTTTCATTTCCCACAACCTAAAGAACGTACAGAAAGACCTCAATGCAGCCATCGGAGAACACGTTCTTCAGGTTCCGCCATCTCCTCGAAAAGTACAGACCCTATCAGAAAAGGGAGAAATCAACAGGGACAGTTCCTTAACGCAGCAAGACACATCTGAGTCCAGCCCCTGCTGGGATAATCTACTGCACAGTGAATGGTTTCTTCATAGCTCTTATATTTACACCGTTTGCTCCAATGATAGAAAAATTCAGACCATCCCTCTTCAGGGATGGAAAAGGGCTCCTGGTAACACAGAGCCAATAAAGAAATAGTAACGGAGCCACAGATCTTGTATGTGTCTTTTTAATATAGTCTATCCAATCATTAATGTACATTTGCTATTGTACAACATAAAACCCCTCGTGACCTTTTACGTTGTGCCCATCTTACTAATCCTCCCTTTGTGTCATCCTTTGCTTGCTATATCCTGCTTATATTGCAAGCACCTGATGGCAGGAACCTCTCCTTCCATTTATCTGTGAAGCTTTGTGCACATTTATGATATTATGGAAATAAATAAGAGTGGTGTACCAATGCCATGGGGGTGGTGGTTTTATTTCAGAGCAGATAAGTTAGATATCTTTCAAAGTAACAGCCATGTTAGTCTGTATTCGCAAAAAGAAAAGGAGTACTTGTGGCACCTTAGAGACTAACCAATTTATTTGAGCATAAGCTTTCGTGAGCTACAGCTCACTTCATCTGTAGCTCATGAAAGCTTATGCTCAAATAAATTGGTTAGTCTCTAAGGTGCCACAAGTACTCCTTTTCTTTTTTAGATATCTTTGTACCTGAGCAATTATGAGATAAAAGCCTCCCAGGAAAACAACGATCTGTCCAGTGAGTTGCAGGAAGCCGATAGCTGTGAACTCTGTAGGAAACGGAGACTGCAAGATAAAAACAAGAATGTGAAGACAGCAGTGGGAGCTGTAGCCACCCAAAGCCCTTTAAACCCCTTAAACCACAGCCCCAGCATTCAAGCTCACTCCATCCCATCCAAGTAAGCCAGCCCTACCTGTAACTGCAGGGGACGATGGTAGGCAAGGACCGTGAAGATGGCCATGAATATAAAATAAGAGAAAAAACTTAAGTAAAATCTCCTGGCAGCAAATGAGTCCCATTTGTGCTGGAGCAGTTTGTTCAGCGGCTCCAAAACCACCATCTTGTATCGATTCTAGGGTGAAAGGAAGAAAAAATAACACGTCATCAGGGATCCAGAATCACCATAAAGCCTTCTTCATCCAGTGTTGGAATTCAGAGGCCAGAAGCCCTGCATGTGTCTTTCATCAGACCTCTCAGCATGAAAGGACGCTGGCATCCTATTGGACTTGGATACTGCCCGAGTCTTATAGCCCTGTACTTGGAGACACCCAGGCTGAGTCACTGCTCCACATCAGGGAACAGAATATAAAGGTCCCAAACTCCTTCCTTATTGCAGATTAGCAACAAAGCTGAAGGGGTTTAATAACATTAACCATATATGTAAATTCCTCATCATTAAAAAATGAACAAATTCACACATTTCCCACCCTAAAATAGAACAATCTGAAATGCCAAATTAATCTACATGATTTACATAATTTATGGTAACACTATAAAAAACTGGACAAAGCCATTCTATATTTGATTTTAAATAAGTCTTCAGGACTCACTGGTGTGTCACTGCTCTCAGCAAGGATCTCCAGCACAGAGTTTTTCTCATAACTATCTACAGAGGACAAGTCATAGAGAGATACATGGACAGGTCCATAGGTCCATTCAGTGAACTTGCGAGACAAGTGCCGGTACTCTGGATCCTTGATCTCTCTTTGGAGAATGTGTCTGAAAATCTGAAGGGAAAGTTTATGTTTATTATACTAATTATACATTAGAATGTAAAATGAAATTCCCAGCATACTTGAGTTGTCTTCAAGCCTGTAACCTGCTGCCTGCATACACTTTGCAGGTATGTTCTTGGTCACACATATGATCCGGCCAAGAACTTGAGGCAAACTAAGAACAGCTTCTAAAAGTTCAGTCAAAGGAGTAACAACTCTCAACCCAGCCCAGGAGCTCCCAGCTGTGATCACATCAGCACAGCTCCTAACAGGAGGGTCTGGAAGAGGGTTTTTTCATGCCTCCTGCGGTGGCACTGCTGGAGAGTCTCACGTGCAGTAACGTAGGATGCACGTACATCAGACCCAGCCTCTAGGCAGGGGACTCACTCCACTGTCCTCACTATTTCTAGCCATGCCCAGAGAACCACTCTCATTGCGTTTACCTCTACTTTGCCCTCCTTGGCAGCCAGTTTCAGTGGCGTTAACCCAGCCCGGTTCACTATCTCCTCGAGCTTCTCTGCTGGGTTAATCTTCATGCCTGCCTTTAAGATCTCATCATACATCTTGCTCACTAACTCAGTGTTCTGCTCGGTGTCATCTGCGATCATCACCAGGGCATGGAGAACCGTGTTGCCCAGGGAATCCTGTTTCTGGAGTCTGGCTTTCTGGTAGGGGTTATCAAGGAGGTATTTTATCACATCAAGCTGGTTGGTGCAAGCAGCCAAGGAGAGGGGAAGTTCACCTGGAGAGATGGAGGCAGGGTTTTGGGAAAAAAAAAAAAAAAAGAAAAAGTAGTTTTAGGAGGAACATTTATATCTTACTCTGCAGAGTCTTGTTACTGTAACAGTGGTGGGCTTTTTCTGGCTGAATCTCTGTATTCAGGCTTGGATGTTTTGTAGTTAATTGGTACAGAAAAACAATCCCTCGCTACTTCTGGAAGCAGCTGGACCACTTTGCCAGACTCAGATTTTGGCAGCACGCCATCAGCATCCACTCCCTCCATCTATTTTTGGGCTTAGTCCACACATGTGGGGGGTCTGAAGCAGTCCCATGTCCCTCGAGAGGGACAAGTGCACACAGTTGAACGGCAGGAGGCAAGCACCGACTGGTGCAGAGGACAGCTCAGTCTGGTGAAGAGGTCTAGCGCCCTTAGTAGGATGGGGCACCCAGGGTTATGGGATGGAGGAGATTACACCAAATGCATGGAGGGGCAAACCCAGGATGGGACAGTGTCTCCACATACTGCAGGGTTCCCAGATAGCAAGCCGGAGCCTGCAGTGCTGGCTTACCAAAATAAAAACCCACTCCTTCTTTCTTCTTCCTGAAGAATTCACCATGGGCTCTGGCATGGACATCGGCTCCATTCTCTACCAGCAGTTTCACTAAACCTAGGTGCCTCTTCTCTATGGCAATGTGGAGTGCAGTCTGACCTAAGAAAACAGGCTTTGCAGTCAGAGCTTGTTGCGATGGTGCCACGGACAGATGGAGCAGGAAAGGCCTTTCCAGAAAACCCCACCAACGTATCAAATCACCACCAGCAATACTGTCAATATGGTGAAATAATCATGGACTCCCAGACATACTGTGTGCAGGGAACTTGTAGCAAATGCTGACTTTGCAACAGCGACCGCTGGAAATGCAATTTGGACACTGAGCATGTGAGCTGTCAGACACAAACTCCCCCAAGACTACGAGGAGCTGAACAGTGTAATTTCTCTTAGAGTTACGATAAGATCTCAGATCTGACCCATGACCTCAAGACCATGAAGCAGTAATAATGATCTAGAAAGATAAAGGTAATATACGTGCACACAGAGGTATGTTTCTTTTGAATATTAGCTATTAAAAGGATAAATCCGCTTAGCAGAACTCATTCATTTCTTAAATGTAACTTGTTTTCACTGAATAATACTACGTAATCTTTTTGCTTCTCCAAAGCACTTTACAAACCTTAACAACAGAACCTCACCATAATCCTGTGTAAATAAGCCAGTATTACCCCCATTTCTCAGATGACAGAACTGAGGCACAGAGCGGTTAAGTGAATTGCTCAAGGCCAGAGAAGTAGGTATCAGAGATGGAATTAGAACTCAGAAATGCCCAGCTCCCTTTTCTGTGTCCAGGCCATCAGTATACCCATTCCACAAACGAAGAACTCCAACATCCTATCAATTATGCATCCATCCAATTCCTGTTATTTTCCATAGATGCTGCCTTGCTAATTGTTGACTTCAAAGTCAGTCACACAGTGCTGGAGAACCCTTACCTGCATAGTAACTATTGGTGCATGCAGCATTGACAAGTGGCCTTGGAGTCTCAGTCTTCTGGTCTATTTCTAGCAACAGTGGGATAGTGGCATTTGTCCCATCTTTTAAATTCAGCAGGGCTTTCATTAAGCAGGTCTTACCTGTCTTGGCATCTGGAAGAGAGAGACACAGCATGGAGCGGGGCATAATTGTGTTTTGTACATGACTGCACCATCAGTTTCGTCTTGCCCAGAACTTAACTGTCAATGTAGCATTAAACACATTAAATTAAAAATCCCTTTCTCATGGTATTTCCAGCCTGCACTAGAAGCAAAGAGCTTAAAAAAAACCCCATATTGCTTAGCACTTTACATCCCCAGATCTCAAAGTGCTTTGTACACAGGCGGGTAAAAGTATCATTAGCTTCATTTCACACATGGAGAAAGTCAGACACAGAGAAAGGAAGTGATCTGCATGACACAAAGCCAGTGGCACAGCGGGGAGCAGCACCCAGACCCGTGCTCGAGCCCTAGACCACACAAACTCTTGTTTGTGGCTGCAAGAGGTTCAGAGTCCAAACTTTTGATTTGGTGGAAGGGTGTATTGTGGGCAGGGGGAGTTGTGAGCCTAAAGACTTTTGGTTTGGTGCTTATTCAACGCGAGCAACAAACCCTTTGAGCTATGCAGGCCACCATCAAGGCATGCCTGTGTTAAATCACCGGAGTACTGAGCTTGTATCTACCTGTATATTCTGAATTGGAGAGAAATTTGGAGGTCCTGCTCAAGTAATCAAGCAAACCATCCAGCTCCTCTGGGTTACCCCTCAAGACAGCACCAAAGAGCCGATCTCTTTCAAAGCGATTTGCGTCCTTTTGGCTACTGGAGAAATGGGAAGAGTTAACCATGTTCTAGACACTCAACAAGAGAGTATGTACCAATCTCCCACGATGCAGGAGCTGCCGTGGTTTCACTGCAAGAAGAGCAATGGGCACGGCAGTTTGCCAAAAGAAAGAATCAAACTCTTTCAGCTCAAAGACCAAACAAAAAAAAAAAAAAAAAGTTAACTCCCCCAACCCTTTTTGTTTGTTTGTATTGGCCTCAGCACTTTCTGGTTCCAGACAGAGGTGCACACTCTGAGTGTGGGGGGAACGGGTAGTATGTATCCCTCTCCATCTGTGTACCACCCCCCCCAGGAAGAATGCAGGACTTGTGCATTTTCACTCTCTTGCAAAGTTTCTGGCACCAGCTTGAATTTCACTTGGTAATGGAAGGCTTCCCAAGGGCAGATCCCATAATTACTTACTTGCTGGAAAGTCCTGGTCGATAATTCAAGTTAATCTTGATTTTTGGATCAAAGTCACTGCTCTCTTTCTTGTAAGGAGTCTCCAGGGGTGGTGGTTCTTCCTTCCCTCCTTTGGCCCCTTTGCTTTCTCCCTGTTTACCAGCTGCACTTTCCTGGATGCTGTCATCTGTTTCTAACACACCCATCAGCCTGTTCTGTGACAGGCCTGGCTTCCTGACCATAGCGTTTGAGATATCCATGTCTGGTAGGACGATGCTTCAGATCATCAAAGGAGCTCCCTGTAAGAGTAGAGATCTGCAGAAGAGTGAGAATTCATTCGATATTGCAGCTGAATTAGACCTCTCACTTGCAGTCCATCCCTGTCCACCCTGCTCCCTCCTAGAAGTTCCCAAACCATCATCCAGGGATCTATGGTCTAGTACCCTCTGCCCAGTGAAACTTCGTTATTTACTTGTTGAACACCTAGAGTTTATTCAGTGCTGTGCAGAAGGCAGCACAGTCATTGCCCCAAAGACTTTTACCATTCAAGGGCCTGTACCTGCAACTGTATCTATACAGGTGGGTCCCTTCAATGACCTGCTGATTTCAGTGGGACTCGGCCCAGGTCTATGAGCTTGCCTGCACCCATCAGACGGGAGGATCAAGTCCTTAAATAGTCTTTGGGGCAGGGAAATAACCAAAGAGTTGTAAAAGCAGGTTAGAGAGTACAGACCAGCAGGGTGTGCTAAGCGGTGTGTCACATTTGGGAGATAACCTCACCTGCGATTGACGGATGGCGTCCTTAGATAAAATGTACTGTGTGGAGTCCATTAGGACTCAGCAATAAAGGAGGGGGACGAATATCAACATTTAGGACACGGACACCATTGTCCTTGTCTTAATGTACCCAGTACAGGCTAGCTATCAAGTGGCCCAAGAAGATAAGATTATTAACAACAGGCCTTCATTGGAAGAGAGCATTAGGTTTGCTCCAGTTCTTTGTTTGGAAGTAGGAAAGGGGGACATATTCGCAGGAGAAACTCATGCCTAACACACAGTATGTTCCTTGTGCACTGCTGCATCACATACTGGGGCATGAGTGCGTATGACCTAACATCTCCTCAAAGCTGTGGTGTGCTCCAGCCACTGCTATCCACATGCGCATGGGCTCTGACCCTCTGATCAACAACCTGGGCACACACGCACACCATGTACAGCTGCTGTTCCGGTAAATATTGCTCTCCTGGCCTGAGCACAGAGCAGCCTCATCGCTCCCAGCCAGGGAGAATGAAGCAAGATCTGCTGTATAGCAGTGCTGAGCACTAACCATTACAGTACCAGGCCAACCCACCAGAATCTAATATTTCTGGTATTCTTTTTCCATCATTTTGAGCCCTCTCTTTACAAATATCTGGGTAGATCTCAGACCCATCCGTGCAAGCTCCCACTGAACACACGCGAAAAGGATCCACTAGAGGAAGAGATGACTGAAGGTTTGTTTACATGCAGTCTAAGAGAAGGCAAGGAAACACCCACGACCAATTCAAGCTAAACATCCTTTATCAGCAGTGCCTTATGCACATGCGCTGTCTGCAAAGAGTTAACAGTTCCTCAGGAATATCATGCTGCAGAGTTGGAAAGCCAGGCTCCCTATTCTATGTCAGGGCAGCATCAGAGGAACACAGTATAAGCACTGTGCTCTAGATTAGGATGCAGAGATGCTTATTTAGATCTAGGCAGTGTATGTTTACAAAGCAATTTTCATGTAGTTCACAGCAAGAGAAATCCAAAGGCACATGCAAAGAAAGTCTATATTAACCATTTTATTTTAAGTTATAAGAAGGCTTCAGTCATGCAGCTTAGGCCCCATTCTATTGCCAAGAACCCCTATGCACACACAAACGTATACCCCATAGTCCCCTGCACACCCTTCATGCCCTCCCCACAAACACTTACTGTGGCAGCCACAAAGCCTTCAGAAAGCTGTGTTTATTACTCATACCACACCCAGGTTGCGTTTTTGTGGCTTCTTGTTCCTGAATTCTCTTTCAGCTGCAGTTTCCATCCCTTCTTGGTGCTTTAAAGATGTACAGTCGTATTTACTCAGAAGGCATTTCAGGTTCTCTTTAAAAACAAAAGCAAAATGGGTCCTAAAAAAAGATCTTACAAGGAATACATCCCCCTTCTGGCTCCCTGGAGAATCCAGAGGGCATTCTTTGGTCCCCATCTGAGCTTTCCCCTGTGTATTCACCCCTTAGCAGGCTGCTAGTCAACTACCAAGCCACTCTGAATTGCACAGCACGAAGCAAGACCTGCAGCCAAATGAAAAGCACAGCACATATTCTGAGCTGGGGCTCCACCCAAGAAATGCTGCTGCCCTGATAGATGGGTCCCAGATAAGCTTTCAGAGGCTGACCCCCCTTCAGTGCAAAGGCAAATCCAGTGATCAGTAGCGAAAGCGCAAAGGTTAAATGAAGATTTGAAAAAGCTCTTACCCAGAGGTAAGATTAATCTTACCCTGCAAAAGAAACTGTGCTCCTTTTAGCACTCACTACTGCATGCTGATAGTGAGAAAGAGCATCCCTAGGCGGAGATCCTGGCTGGTGCCTATGAGGAATCCAGGCTTCTTGTAGGGAGTAAATATTGATTCTGCACTGGCTAGCCACTCAGCGAATAACGGAAGAGCGGCAAAGCGCTTGAGCAGGAAGTGATTAGATGGATTTTGCAGTAAGAAAGAAACCCATATTAGAGAGCCAATGAGGGCAGTTATACTGGCAATGTCTGGCTCACTGGGTACATTGCAGGTTGTATGCTTAACCCCTGGTCACCCAGGCGGAGGCGGGGTAGAGTTTTGAGGCTGTCAACCACAGCAGGCTCAGGTCTGATGGGAGGTTGATAAATTTTATCTCCACTCTTTCTGTAGCCAGTGGTTTTCCTCACGAGTATGTCACAAGGCTCAGGGATCAGCCGCAAAATGAGCGAAGTTGTCACGGAAATGTCTACCAGCAGCCCACTTCCTAGGAGTGTCAGTTTTTCCGCACCCAGCTTCACATGCCCAAGCTGTGGCAAGGCTGAGATCAGAATGAAACAAGAACCAGCTTAACCACAATGTTAACAAGAAAGACCCACAGTATCAGCTGCACAACACAAGCCAGGGGATAGCACAAAGGCATCCCAGTTCTAAAGAGCTGGGCTCTGTTGCTCCACTTTTCAGCAGCACAGTTCAATGCCCCATTGCTCCCAGGAGATGCAGCACTGGACAAGACCCCTTGCAGATAGTCAGAGACCCCAACTCAATTATTTATTGTTGTTAGCTGATGCTGTGTCTTTAAAGAAATTCTGATCTCATCTACATGCTCCTTCTTGATGGAGGACTAACTTCGGTGCATCATGATGGAGAGCAAGGTGCTGGGATAAACCCTAGTTCCCACTCCAGGAGGTATGATACATAGGGAACACAGTTGCCACGCCAGGGCAGTTTACACTGCATGGCACTTACACTGTGGGTGAACCCAGGACTGGAACAGCTGGGGGTGCTGCAAAGCAGCAGTGAGGCGAGTTGGCAAAACTTAGAGAAGAGATTCCTAAAAATAAAATTAATGCACAGGTGAAGGACTTCATACTGATTGTTCATTTTCAGCTTCCTTCCTCTAATGCAGATGGGGAATTTTGTTCCATTCCTCTCTCCAACATGGTCTGCATCGCCTCATCCCAGACCTGAAGCGAAACTGCTGAGCTGCATATCCGAGATTAGGGTGGTAGATCCTGACGGTGGTCTTTTCTTTGTGGGCCATATCTTGCCCAGTCTGTGGGATAGTGGGGTCCAACTGTGGTAAGGGAAATTCCATCAGTTGACATCTTATTAAGGGAACCTTTGGTGCAAGAATTGCCGGTGCAGCCGAATATGTGGTCTGCGTAGCCTGATCAGCCCAGCAGTAAGTTCCCAACAATGGTATACGTCACATTCACCAGTCGCAGAGCACTTCAGCCAGCACCCTGTGGTCTCTTGAGTTCTTTCTCCTCCTCTCCCCAGCAGATTCAAAGCCTCTGGATTTAGTTTAACCCCTCTATTTTCAGCAGTGTCGGTGCAGGATGACATTCAGAGCACTCCCCAACCACATCACCACACCACTTAGCTGGGCCTACAACACTCTCGAGGCCCAATATCTTGAGTGGTCACTATATTCTGCATTGCCATGCAAGATACTGAACCCAGGGCTCAGGTTCTGATCTCTCATTACCCAACACTGCCAGAGGCCCAATCAAGTCTAAAGTAGTTCTCAGCTGGAAGGACTGCAGGCACGAGACAGCATAGGGGCAACTTAGCCATCCCCCAGGGAAACGTTCCAAGTTAGCATCTAGCTTGAATCTGCCTCTAACAGAAATCCTGTTAGAAGCCATAGTGCCAACCACCTGCTCAGTGGTACCGAATTAAATCATAAGCCAGTTTCTCAGATGCTTGTGTTAATCCCTGGGGAGAAACAGAGCTGGTTCTATAATGATGTAAAGCTATTTTTGCTTTCCTTTCCTGCTTAGTAGCTTTGACTGTGCCACAGATTCTAGTAAATGACAGAAATCCGGCACAGGCAGAGAGATGCAAACAGGGCTCAGTTCTCCTCTCTCTTTCACACCAACTTTACACTGGTTTAACTCCACTGGCTTGGAGTCCACCTGTTGGGTCAGAACAGCAAAATACACAATGCCTCAAAGAAGCTGAGGAAGGACGGGGAAAATAGGAACTTTTGACATAGGATTTAGGAAGGACAGAATTCAAAGACTGACTATCACAATAGCAAATACTTCTCTTCAATCACTGCAACACTACACACACCCGTAGACAACATCAGGGTATGTGTTAATATAGTTTACAGGGTGGGAAAGTGAGACAGAAAAGTTACATGACTTGTCCAGGTTTATACAAGTCTGTGTCAGAGCCAAGAATCGAACCCAGGAGTCCTGACTCCCAGTGCTTTGGCTCCAGTCACAAGACTTGTCTGAGTGGAACTGATTTCTGGCCAACAAACTTATTTCACTAGTGAACAATTTCACACTTGAACTTGGAGTCTATGGAGGGGACAGTTTTCTATTACTCCATTAAAAAGGGTGGGGATATAAATAATAGGCTAATACTTTATAAAGTCAGAAGGGATCATTGTGATCATCTAATCCAACCTCCTGTATCACGTGAGCCATAGAACTTCCTGGAATTAATTCCTGTTTGAACTAGAGCACAACTTTTAGTTCTTTTACATGAACGGCTGTCAAAGGAATTTAACAGACTATAAAGATTTCATGCCACTGTCCCTCTGCCCCCAGGTGAATCATTTCACAAGGTCATAGTTATGACAAAGACATCACATGAATATCCCCTACCTTCACTTTGCGAGTCTGAATGTTTCCATGTGACCAGCTGGCAGTTACACCACATCACTTGTCTCTGCCCTCCCAGACTCTAGAGATTGTGGAAAAAGGAAGCTCATGAAAGAATAATTTCTATTTATTTACACTGTACTCAGCGCTCTGAGAGAGCAGAACCAAAGTGCAGGTGGCAGGCAGGATCATTTCTTCTGCCTTGTACATGGTACTTTCAGCCAACCCTTGAAACATCATCATATAAATAATTAAGTTAGTTATGACAGAAGATAAACCTCACATCTAGCCCGGATTAAGAGGGACAAGGAGAAGGGGTTTTGGATTCTGTGGTGCGCACTGATTCCTGTTATATTCCAGAGCCACAATATCAACTAGAACTATTTTAAATAGTTAACATGAGCAGGTCTGAGCTTCCTGCTCATTTTGGTTTGTCTTGTATGGTCCAGAATGAGCAGCAGAAGAGGCCCATCACCAACAGGCTGCTGCATGACCCAATATCTCTATTAATTATTTGCAGTTAGAGGGGCAGAGGAGACACCCACTGAATGAGGGCAGAGATGCAGTGTAGTGCCTTGCAGTATGCAGCAAGCATGTTATGTGGATGCTTCTCCCCAAAAGGCATCATGCACTGGGCTTTCCAGCTCTTGAGAATCACTATTGGGAAATGACTGTCTCAAGCTGCATTCTGACTGGCCTGTGGGCCCTCCGGATGGTGTCATACTGTGCACCAGCTCCCAGTAATGCATAGCTGGGACCTTGCCCCTGAAAAGCAAAATCATTATGCCTGTCATAGCTGGGGAGAAAGAGTTAACGGGCGACAAAGATAATAGAAGCAGCCTGTAGGGAGGAAAAAAGGAGCCATTAAACTGCTCACATTCTCCAAAGTGCCAAGCGGCCTCTCAGAAGCAAGTTGTGGTCCTGCTGCCATTTTTATTGGGTGGGAAATTCAGACTGTTCAGTATTTCATTTCATGGAAGGAAATTGGTTGAAAGTGGCTGTTGGGTCAAAAGCTGCTATTGAAAGGGCAGCCAAGCCTCGGGAGGACAGAGGAGGGCTTTTTTCTCAAACAAAACTATAGTTCAAACCAGAAGAACTATCTGCACAGTGAAGGATACATCACACAGTCCACACCACATCCATACATCCATTATTGACAGAGTTTTAGTTTTTAAAATGATTTTTAATGTTCATGGGAATTTTGTAGCATAAACCACACCAGTGTGCCTAGTAACAGGCAACCAGTGCATGTCTTGGACAGCTGTCCTTTGACCTCATCCTACACAGAGAACCTAAAGGTGCATCAGTAGCTGACTAATGCAAATACACCCTGTCATTGCTTATTGCGCCAGTGAAGAACAGGAGATTTCAGTTTCAGGTTTCAAAGGGGTTATTCGTATAAACAAAGCAAGTTCACACAAAAAGAGCTCTTTAACAAGATCCTTTTAACATCATAACACTCAGTGTAGAATAAATAAAATTAAAACTGATTAAGAGATTGAATGAATTTAATTTATGCTGTAAAGCAAAGGGTGAAATAAACCAGCTCTTAACTGATGTCAGTCAACAGATAACTAGAAGGTTGCGGTTTTGGGTGGGGGGAGGGAGGAGGAGGAGGAGGGGATAGAGAGAGGGGTGAATAGACTTTCCTTGTGGCTAGTGCTACAGCCAGACTAGAAACAGCCTTTGTAAAGTCTGCTGTAGCAACAGGCCCTAGCAACGGTGGGACTCCTCTGCTGAGACAATCCGAAGCAATGGCAGGTGGCTCAGGAACTTTGACATGGCTACAGAAAGCCCGAAATCACATTGAGAACTCACAGGTATGGTAGAATTAGGCACAGAAAGTCAGGACAGGTCCTGATGGGCCAGGAAGGGGTTTAAAGTTTGGACTTTGTTGATCTTGGGCCAGAGAGCTGAGGCCAAATGCTGGAATTCACATTTCCTGAGCCCACGGCCCTGGGAGGAGGGATTGTCTTGCAGTTAATATCAAGGGGTTTGGGGGATGTGTGGCTGAGCCTTCTGCACCTTGGGCTAAAATAATGGACTGTATACGTCTGAGTCTTGCTCCACTGAGTCTGAATTGCAACAGTCGGTTATAGGTTTCTGAAAAGCCAGAGGCAATCTGATGTGAGCAAGCTTAATAAACATAGAGCAACCAGCACAAAAGCCAGAAAGCCCCCCTGCTAGAGAAACAAGCAAGACAATTGTCTGTAAAAATACCCAGTGATGTGATTACTGCAAAGGTCGGAGTCATAGAGGGACATTTTGGAGCTGTACTTACTAAGAAGGCAGCAGCTGTCCTGATGGAGAGTCTCTCTAACCTTCATGACCTCTGTGACCCCATGTGCTGTGCCTACAGCATCTGGGCTTCTGCTGGGTCTGTCTCATGAAATCATCTACAACGCTTGAGTCCCCTGGAGGCCCAAGGATAAAGCCTCTGCACTGCCACTTTCTAGATCTTGTACACACTGTTGCAGTGACATCATCTGCCAGAGATGGCGGTTGACAGGAATACTGTCAATCTCAGGGGGATTATTATTAGGGTTGAGGGAATGCCTGCCAGAAGGGAGTCTGTGGAGGCCCCCCCTGCACACGTCCACCTCTGTATCCCTCTTCCTGACCCATGGAGAGCGTGGCTGTCTTCACACATTTGGGATGAACATCCAGGCCCAAGGGAGGCTGGCCTAACAGAATCCCCTCTATGTTGGGCAGGAATGGTGAGACTTCACAGTGCAGTTATGTGATGCTGCCCAGCAGCAGATGACTGAGAGCCACGTCCATTTCTTCACTGACCTCTCTGCGGCAGAGAAGGCTTTCGTCCTTCAGCGAGCTGCCAAGGCCATCCAAGGAGGTAACAGCTTGGGAAGGGAAGAATATTCAGCCTCTCTCTTCCTTCAACTTCTAGGTTACCACCCGGTTGTTTCATTTTTTTCCTGTCATCAAAGTACTTTATTTTGCCGAGCAGCTCAATAAAGTGCCCATGAAACTTTGGCTTCTTTCCTAGTCTCTGTATGGGCATTTACACCATGCCCATCACTGTTGTATCCAAGTACACTGAGTTTAGCTGGGTAGTAATCAGGGCAAGATGCACGCTTCTCCTGCATTGGCACAACAGCTTCTGCTATTACTTTACTTGCCGTGTAACTCCAATGCTGCATTGCAAGAGAAAATGCCAAAAGGCTTGAGCCCTGCTTCAGCAATATCTGGTGACTGTAGTTTTGTTACAATAGTTAAATGTTAGCCATACACTCATGGCTAAATCACTGACTTACACCGCCCTACTTATCTTCTGGTTGTCTTACCATTATCCTGATAAACAATGAAGAAACCTTCTGGCTGTTTCAGCAGACCTGTGTAAAGCCCTGATGTCTCAAGTTAGCACTTGCCTAGAGGAGCAGCTGTACATTCAAGTTGCTCATGAACTGCAAGATGGTGATCGTCTGAAAAACAAGTCAGCCCTGGTTCTGAGTCACATCAAGAATGGAGTGGTACATTTACTATCTTTTTCGAAGAGGGTTATTTTATTTGCATGAAAATTCAAAATAAAGGACTAATGTGACCTGCAGCTGTTCCAACCTGATGCAATCGTTGCACAGTCTAAAGACAAACCAGTTTCCTTTGTAGCCCTTCATCTATATTGCTCCAATGGTATGAAATTTTCCAAGAATCCAGCTTGTGATTTTGTCCTCAGATTGTAGACCAAAACTGCCGCTCTGGGACCCAAGTGGCTCAGGGCTCTCTATTTCTATGTGCAATCTAAGATGTGTTCAACATCATAAGTGCAGAGGTCCCAGTTCAGTCCCTCTTGACTTACACTTTAGAGCATCCATTCATTCTGCTCAGGAAAGACCAATACCTCCTCTCCCAACTCCAAACGCTGGAATGTGCCACCCTGTCCTTTCCTTAGCACTTGGCAAAGTTCCATTCTGATCTTGGATCTTCTCTCCACCGTCACTCACCTAGGTGGACAGGTCACCTGCCAAACATAAGCCCATCTAAAGGGACTATGAGGTAAATCAGTGCTTCCTGTCCATTGAAACTCTGATTATCTCATATCTATCCACAGCAGAGGTGCTGCCAGCAACCTGGCCAGTTCTAAACTATCAATGTCCAACGACCCACTCCCCAGCACAAGCTGAACCAGAATAAATCCACTCATCCATTCCCTAACAAATCTTACGCCGATGGAGCAGTGCACAGACCTATAAACCAACAGTCCTGCCTAGTGCCTTCATGTCATTCATCTTTACTGCACACCAGCCTGACAGCTGCTGTATACAACTAACTTAGGCAGGAATGGGCAAACCAGACAGAAGCAGGCAGGATGGAAAAATCTGAACCAGGCTGATTTCCCATTTGCAGTCCTTATTCTTATGCTTGAAATGAGTTCACTTTCCTCCTGCTGTAACACTCTTGATTTTGAAAACTGTAAATAGCTCAGTGGTTATAAATGGCTAAGTGACTTGCTCAAGACAGTATAGCAAATCGGTAGCAGAGCTGGGAATAAAACCCAGATGTCTGACTTCCTGTCCTTTGCTTTATCTATAAATATAGCTGATGACAGGCAGATCTGAAACCCTAAATTTAATTATCCTCCTTATTTTAAGTGATTTTATAGATAAGGAAATTCCATCTTCCCTCTAGGCCATCCACCTGAAGCAGATACTAGGCCTGCTTCTATATACCTCATGTCTGAAAACTCCCATTGAGCGGTTTCACTGGATTCCATGACTACAGCAGGGGTCCATATCATATAGAAGGGACACTTTGTCCTTATACTGAAAGGCTTTAATTTAGAATTTAGCTGCTGTCAATTATGCATTGTTTTTCAGATGAATTTGCTGGAGGAAAGGCCAGCTATGAAGGGGAAATTGCAAGCTTTTTTCAACCAGTCCCTCCCTGCAGACTTGAGAAGGCTCACCTGGAGGCTCCACCTGTCTAATACCAAAGGTATTTATTTATTTCAATGGTTCCTTCTTTTGTTTTAAAATATTTGACCATCCCAACTTCTGGGCACGTTTAGAAATCAATCTATCCTATCTATGCCATTCATGTGTGGTATGACATATAGGGATTAATATCCACAACACAAAAGACAGGACACCTGGAGACTGCTGTTCACAGTCTGAATGACGAGTGTAAACAGCTTCACATGGCTCATGATGAAAATCCAGTGGTTTTCACTGGTCTGCAGAGATGTTGTTCCTTTAAATGAGACACTCGAAGGGGGTCCTTGGAGGCCCTTGCTAAAATTCTTGCCACAAAATTGAAGAGAGGGTTGGAGCAATCTCCCTCCCTTATTTATTCCCGGGGCTCATAAAATAGTTCTGAACAGTACCTTTCTTGCCTTTGGAGTGGATCAGTTTGCTCCAATTATTTTCAGAAGTGATCTCTCAGGGTAGCGCAGTCATTACACACATGGAGTCAAATTCTATGATAATTTGCATCCTGTGCAGCCCCACTGAAACCAATGGATATATCTCAGTACAAAGTTTAGACGAAGATCATCAAGAATGTAAGTGGGTTCAACTGCACAGAGAGATCTAGTAGTGTCTTTATAAGAAATCTGGTGAAGTATGAGAACGCATTAAAGTTCACGCAAAAAGTGAATGCTGTGGTTCCTTTATGGCCTCCCTTGTTCTTCTTCTTTCCAGCACGTATGGAGTATCTGTCCCAAGTAGCAGTGAATAAAGCTAAATCCCCAAAGGAGCGGGAGATTTTCCTGAGGTCTCAGGTTCTGCTGTCCACCGAACCCACCTTCCAGCATCTGAAAAATAACAAAGGTGAAGTCATTGATCACGGGTAGCGATCAATGGCTCCATGTCTAGTTGGCAGCCGGTGTCAAGTGGAGTGCCCCAGGGGTCGGTCCTGGGGCCGGTTTTGTTCAATATCTTCATAAATGATCTGGAGGATAGTGTGGATTGCACTCTCAGCAAATTTGCGGATGATACTAAACTGGGAGGAGTGGTAGATACGCTGGAGGGCAGGGATAGGATACAGAGGGACCTAGACAAATTGGAGGATTGGGCCAAAAGAAATCTGATGAGGTTCAATAAGGACAAGTGCAGGGTCCTGCACTTAGGACGGAAGAACCCAATGCACAGCTACAGACTAGGGACCGAATGGCTAGGCAGCAGTTCTGCGGAAAAGGACCTAGGGGTGACAGTGGACGAGAAGCTGGATATGAGTCAGCAGTGTGCCCTTGTTGCCAAGAAGGCCAATGGCATTTTGGGATGTATAAGTAGGGGCATAGCGAGCAGATCGAGGGACGTGACCGTTCCCCTCTATTCGACATTGGTGAGGCCTCATCTGGAGTACTGTGTCCAGTTTTGGGCCCCACACTACAAGAAGGATGTGGATAAATTGGAGAGAGTCCAGCGAAGGGCAACAAAAATGATTAGGGGTCTGGAACACATGAGTTATGAGGAGAGGCTGAGGGAACTGGGATTGTTTAGTCTGCGGAAGAGAAGAATGAGGGAGGATTTGATAGCTGCTTTCAACTACCTGAGAGGTGGTTCCAGAGAGGATGGTTCTAGACTATTCTCAGTGGTAGAAGAGGACAGGACAAGGAGTAATGGTCTCAAGTTGCAGTGGGGGAGGTTTAGGTTGGATATTAGGAAAAACTTTTTCACTAGGAGGGTGGTGAAACACTGGAATGCGTTACCTAGGGAGGTGGTAGAATCTCCTTCCTTAGAAGTTTTTAAGGTCAGGCTTGACAAAGCCCTGGCTGGGATGATTTAATTGGGGATTGGTCCTGCTTTGAGCAGAGGGTTGGACTAGATGACCTCCTGAGGTCCCTTCCAACCCTGATATTCTATGATTCATATGTGGTTATCTTGTGATTGTGAAGCCATGACCTTTACTTTTTGCAACTAATAAAAGATTGTGTACAACACCAGGGAAAAAAGGACTCCGAAAAAGTTGGGGTTTTTATTTCAGTTGCAGCACGAGCCCTGAGGAACATTCTCTCTTACTACCATAAGCCTCAAGGCACAGCCACGAATCTGCCCGACACAGGGTATTTTTTACTGGTGCCTCTGCTGCAAGTCGTCCTAGACACTGCTGCCCCCAGCCTATCTTTGGACTCCATTTCTGCTGTTCTGGCTGAAGAGTTTATCACTTTCATTGAACCTTCGACCTCAGTTAATGAGGCTCTCTTCCACCAAGGTAGAGTCAGATGCCTCTCCCCTTTTCAGGGCTATGCATCTCTGGAGAAAGAGGATGCAGCTGACTACAGAGGCTTCATTGAGTCCATGTGTCTGGGATCAGAGACAAATCATTGCTCTCCATCCTCCCCCATGGAGCTCCAGCCTTGGCTGCACCTCACAGCACAGGCTCCTATGCCACACGCATAGTCCCCTACAAACATAGATGAAATCTGCACTGGTCGTGCCCCATGTAGAATCAGGGGAAAGCCGTGCACTCACCCTCTTCAGTTTCTCTCCATGACCTGTATAGACAAGGAGTTGCCACACTCCGATGAAGTGAGCTGTAGCTCACGAAAGCTTATGCTCAAATAAATGTGTTAGTCTCTAAGGTGCCACAAGTCCTCCTTTTCTTTTTGTGAATACAGACTAACACGGCTGTTACTCTGAAACCTGTCACTGGGCCATTAGTTTGCCTTAGAAATTGTTTCCCTAGAATAAAACAGCTTGGGTTTAGAGAGACGAATGGAGCATCAGGCATTTTCCTTAGTTCTGTACAGCACCTTTTCTGAGAACTGTATAAAGGAAAGATGCCAATAGGACATAGTGTCCCTTCCCCTCAATGCATTTTAATTTCTCACACAGATGCTGTTATTTCTTGTTCTAGGATCCCGCCAGTGCCAATATATTGGAGGAAGCAACCTCAATGTTAGAGCAAAAGGACAGGGACCTGGCCAACGTCATTCGAGGCATTTACAGTCAGACAGGTAATTTTGCTGTATAGTAAATAAAATAACGGAAGTATTATATGGTAATAATTGCCCACTCCCTAGGAGGTGAAACACAAAGCCTTATCTTCCTTCAAGATACTCTGTTCATCATCTCAGCGGAAAGCTTTTCTATCAAACAGATCCTCAGCTGGTGTCCATCAGTAGAGCTCCACTGGATCTGGCCCTATATAAGTGGTACAATTTAAATACAGTCACCAGCTCGTGAGACAACCAGCATGTTAGTCTCTGAGCTTGACTGAAACTTCAAGTAAATTCCAACTGTTATGCAGAATCGATTTACCCTGAACTCTTTCATTGTGTCCTAGCAGAGGAACCTCAGGAACCCCTGCAGAAGGCACTGCAGCACATGGTCCAACCAGCCATCAGTACGGTCTTTGCAGGTAAGGCCCTTACTGAGGTTTTTAAATGAGTCACAAGCCAACTTCTTCCAATCCTAAAATGAATCAGGCTTTTCCACATAAGGTCTAGCTTGTAAGAGAACAAAGGATGTTGTGTATTAAGAACAGTGGTACGAGATATTCCCTCCAACGGGAGGGAAGACAGCGAGATAGGGCCAAATGTATCACTGATATTAATAAACGGAAGTCATAGATTCATAGATATTTAGGCCAGAAGGGACCATTATGATCATCTAGTCTGACCTCCTGCACAATGCAGGCCACAGAATTTCACCCACCACTCCTAAAAAAGACCTCACACCTATATCTGTGCTATTGAAGTCCTCAAATTGTAGTTTGAAGACCTCAAGGAGCAGAGAATCCTCCAGCAAGTGACCCGTGCCCCATGCTACAGAGGAAGGCGAAAAACCTCCAGGTCATTTATTTTGTCCTTAGGGTGTAGCTACATTGCAGTCTCTGGTGTAATTACAGCACAGGTAGACATACTCATACTGACTTTACCCACACCAGCATGGCTAAGAACAGCAGTGTAGACACAGTAGCGTGGGCTTCAACTCCAGCTGTATAATCACACCAAGGACCCTAGGTACATACTCACAATGCTAGCCTGTTGCTAACGTCCATGCCATTGCATCTCCACTAATATTTTTAGCCAGCCTTGCAAGGCTAAATCTAGCAGAGACAATCACACCTCAGATCATCTCTAGAAAGGAAAAAAAGAGTCAATTTGTTCACAAATTCACCCAGATGAAGCAATTTAGAAAGTAATTAACATTTGCTCATCTTTCATTCTCCCCTTTCCTTCTCATTCTGGGGAACAACAAGCAACCACTAGCAAACAGAGACGTAAAACGAGAGTCTCAGTTACCCAGAGTCTCCTGGCAGAGCAGTAATTGTGCAACTCATTCCTGTAATGACCAACAGATCTTCCAAACTTGGTGCATCTCATGCATACACACATCCCTGCCTGTAGTAAAAGGGTTACTCTGCACTTTTTCACAGGCTACCTGACCATGGGTACATTGCTTTATGTCTGGGACCAGGTAATCATTGGACTTGATCAGCCAGCATATAACTGCCTCCCTGCATTCAGCACAGCCTTCATCTTATTGCTCTGGAACTATCTGAAGACATGTCAGTCAGTAAGTGTCACATTTCCTTTCTCACAAAATATGCAATTTCATTCATAAGATTCAAGTCCATGATAACTTTTATTTCAGAAATCATAGTTTGGGGTAGATAAAATGTGGAGCTAAAGAGACAAAGACTGTTTAACACTGAGGCTAGGAGGTGAGTCAGTGACAAAAAGAAAGATTAAAAAAATAAGTTCAACAGCATCCTGACACAGAAGAGGGTGCAGAGATATAAAGGAAGGGCAGCGAGGATATGCCACAAAATCTCACGGCAACTGCAATCCATTTTCCTGGGACATAAATCACTGCCTATTGTTTGGTTCAGCCAGGCCAGGTGGAAACAGCTCTAAGGACTCAAGGGCCAATTCTGTCTGTGCAAGAATTTCAAGACGTGATCAGAAAACACGTCTTCAGAGAACTCTCCAGCCAGCTACACAGAGATGACAGTGACCCCTTCCCAGTCCATGATCCCACACAAGGTGAGATCACATCCTGCATCTGGCACTGCACAAGACTTGCACCTGGAATAGGTGTCACAAAAACAACATACCCAGCTAGATGCAGCATGCCCAGTGATTAGCTGCCAAAATCTTAACAACCGGTTTCCTCCTCACCCCACAAGGGGGTCGTTGCCCACCCCCACTCCCCGGGACTCCTGCCCCATCCAACCCCCCCGTGTTCCTTGACGCCCCCCCCAGGACCTCTGCCCCATCCACCCCCCTCCCCTGCCCCCTGACTGCCCCCAGAACCAGGCAGGAGGATCTCATGGGCCACCGTAGTGGGTGCCCACCCCACCCATAAGAGCCAGAGAGACCTGCCGGGGGGCAAAGTGGGGAGTCCCGGCGATGCTTACCTGGGGCAGCCGGGAAGGGCTGAGAAGCAGGCGGCAGCTTCCTGCTCAGGCCGAGGGTGGTGGAGGTGAGCTGGGGCAGGGAGCGGTTCCCCTGCGGCACGACCCCCCCTCCCCCCCCGGGTTACCTGCTGCAGTGCGGACAGCCCTCCTCGCACCCACCCACCCCCGCCCCAGCTCACCTCCGCCTCCCTGGGCCTGAGTGTGAAGCCACCGCCTGCTTCTCAGCCCGCCCCGGCTTCCCATGTGAACAGCTGATTCGCGGGAAGCTGGGGGGGGGGCCGGAGAAGCAGAGCGGGGCGGTGCGTTCAGGGGAGGAGACAGAGCAGAGGTGAGCTGGGGCCGGGCGCAGGACAGGGAGCTGCCGGTGGGTGCTCTGCATCCACCAAATTTTCCCCTTGGGTGCTCCAGGGCTGGAGCACCCATGGAGTTGGCACCTAAGGCGCCACTTTTGGCCGGTTAAATTTAGAAGCCCTTTTAGAACCGGTTGTCCCTTGCAGAACAACCAGTTCTAAAAGGGCTTCTAAATTTAACAATCGGTTCTAGCAAACCAGTGCGAACCGGCTCCAGCTCACCACTGAGTATGCCCATAAAGCTGGTGGATATTCCAATACTTAGATTCACCAAGCCAGCATAAAACATCTTCTTTATTACCTTACTGGTTACACTCAGAAGTCCAAACCACAAAGATCCCTTAAAGTGATCCAGCCTCAGGCCTCCATCCAGGTACCCACATCAAATATGATGAAAATTTCTGTAAATCTTATTTCATTATATAAAAGAAATGGTTCTACCAACCCCAAAGGATCGGACACATTATCTCCCAGGTTAATGAATGTTTCAGATCTTACCCAAATACAAGCTACAGCCAATTCTTATTAACTAAACTAAAATTTATTAAAAAACAAAAGAGAGAGGGAGTCTGGTTAAAAGATCAATATACATACAGACATAAGTTCAATTCATTGAGGTTCAGATTCATTGCAGAAATTGTGAGCTTTGTAGTTGCAAAGAGTTCTTTCAGAAATAGTTCATAATTTATAGTCCAATGTCCAAATCTCACATTCAGGGCGTACCAGCATAACTGGGACCTCAGTCTTGCGACTCAAACTTCCCCTGATGAAGCCAAAGCAGATCTCAGATGACAGAATCAGGACCCAAAGATCTTTTATACAATTTCATGTCTTTTGACAAGTTGGGGTTCCTCAGGGAACAAAAGGTAATTAGAATAACTTTGAAGGAGGTCCATCACCGGTACTTAGCTATATGAATTAACATAAGACCATTTGCTTGTTCCTCCACCATTCACAGTACATTTAAAAAAAGAGATGAATACCAAGATATCCCGTGTTTACAATTCATTTAAATGATAGGATGTTCTTTTGACCTCTGAATTATCAGAATACAGCACAGACAGGGACTGCTGATTACATTGTGGACCCTAATCATACATATGTAAACACACAAAAACACAAACATCTCTCCACCCTCTTTTGAGGGTTATTTATTTTGCAGGATGTCTAACCCTAGCCATGTGTCACAACTAGCAAAACCACCACAAGGAGCTGTTATAGCATAGTCTGGTCTCACCTGTGCAGATAGACCCAAATTATGTTTTAACCTTGTTAGTGGATTGTGCTACGGCTCCTATCAGATCCATAACACAATTCAAGTAACAGGCTCATACCAGGCAAATGCAGACCTAGTTATAAGACAGAACACTACCATGATGTAACAAGACGTGATAGATCTTGGTTTATAGACAAGTACTGTTTCTCCTATACCCAAAAAAGGAACCATATGCTCTCAGTCTTATTCCAGATTACAGGAAAACAGCAAGAAAGAAAAAGTGAAGTCTCTGCGAGGGAGAGCACAATGCAGGCATCTCCTCTGTACAGGCTGCAGCAACTCTGAGAAGAAAATGGCCACTGCCTCTGCACTGAGGCACAGTTCTTACAAATGTAAGAAGTGCAGAACATAGAAAATGTAACCAGCACTACTGTCCCTAAAAAACCCTGACTTCCTGTTCCACGGAAATGCTATCCTGCCAATAGAGAAGGAAGTTGGTGAATAAATGCTCTTAAAGCAACCTGGATAGGAAGCCCCAATAACTGATGTTTGATAGATGAGCACTTACGTTACCAGTGATTTGTTAGCAGATTTCACAATATTTTCTAAATGTTTCTTCTGGAGAATTCTATAATCAGGCTATGGAATATATACACGTGTAGATGAAGCAGTACGTACTCTGCATGGAACTTTTATCAACTCAGATCTGGATTCATGTCGAACACGTCTGTGGGAACTGATGCAGTTGTCTGGCTATCTCTGTGTGCTCTTCAGAAAGCTGACAATTGTCATGTTCTCACGGTTTTTATTTTCTTCTCCACAGTTTTGCCTCCCTGGAGCTACTTGTACAGAGTACCAGTATCTCCAAGAACCAGACCTCAGGACAGAAGACAGGCAAGGTAGCTCTATTGGGCATTACTGTCACCATACAGTACTCATGTATTTCTCGACATTACTGCCAGGGCTGTGACCATTAAAATGGGTAGGTCACTCCAAGACTGCAGCCTTTAACATCTCAAATGGCCCTGTTTAATCCTTTCTAGCCATGTGTCACAACGAGCAAAACCACCACTATTAAGGAGTTGTTATAGCATAGTCTGGTCTCACCTGTGCAGATGGACCCAAATCATGTTTTATGTTTAGTGAAGCAGTACAGACCTGGGGTGCTATCAATGACACAGCCCAGCAAGGGCACGGAGGGGAAGGCGCCAAGAGCAGTTTTCAAAGGGGAACAAATATACACGTTTCTACGTTACAGAAGAAACCATGTTTGCATTTTTGCAGGGGGCACTATACCATACACGAGAGTGGGTGCGGAGCAGCTCCATCCTTGCCTTACTCTGCCTTCAGGGTTGAGGTAGAGGAGATGCAGGATACCTATTAAAAAGGGTTAGAGAACTGTAAGCCAACAGAGTCTGTCAGCGTACTCCAAAGACATGGGGTTTTCCTCCCACGTGTTTACTGGCAGAATTTGGAGGTAAACAGGTTTTATCAAATGATTTTAAGCCAACAACTATCAAAAATCCTTGATGTGCTACCACCAAAAAAAAAATCCTCTAAAGCTTAGTGCCCTGTTCCGCCTCCTTGGAGAGGCCTGCCTTAGTCTGTTTGCTGCTAACCTTAGATCTCACACTTCTGCCTGTGAGCCACATTTATGGCACTCTGTTGCATTTGGTTCCTGATTGCTCCCCTCAGGAGCCCCACCTTATTATACCAACAGATTTCACCTGTGCAGCTACAAGCCATAAGAGACTTGATCAGAGAAATTAACTCTCCATCAGCTGGATTCAGTGTGGGACCTCCCAGCACACTGAGTATTTTGTGCCTAACTTTAAGGGATCAGCTGTAAAATTTATTAGAAGGGGGGGGGCAGTTTGAATTAGATTTTGACACAAATCTTGCAATAAGCTTCATGCAGGCAGAGGCCTACAGAGAGCTCATTGCATAAGCCTGGGAGTAGTTTCACAGTTTTTCTTTTGGTAAATTTTAAAGAAGAGTTGAAGGGAAAGGGGAATTTAAATCTTTTCCTAAGGTGTTTGGGTCACAAACCCAACAGCACTGGGCTAAGTGTGTGAGAGCCAGAGAATGACATTGATTGTAAACAGTGAAACTGATCCTTCTAGCTTCATTATTATCCAACCTCCGTGAACAGCAAAAAGTATACAAAGATTCCCACTTTATACCTGGAACTGAAACAGATTTACCAGCCTTACCTCTAAGGAGCCTAGGGGATAATGCACACCGCAGGCCCTGGAATACAGGCCTGTGATTTCCTACCCACCCTGAGGGTAGATGGAGTTAGAGAGGCTGTCTCAACCACTGACTTTAAAAGTTTCTCTTCCTGTCCCTCTGCTCCCATTTTCCTAGAGAGTCCTTCCCTAAATACAATCATTAACAAAAACTTTAGCACCATCCACTGGCAACCTCCCATACTCCACTTTATCATCAATGCTATAAGTACGCTAATGAGCAAATCATTACCCACTGTGGTTTTGTCAGGTTAACGCTCTCTGTGGAGCAGATGAGTGAGCTCAAGTCCTGATATTTACACATTACTATATTTAAACCTAACGCTAGCAGAACACTCAGAATTAAAGTTGTAGTTGTATTCGTCCTGGATTTTACAGAGACAAGGTAGGTAATATCTTTTATTGGACTAACTTCTGTTGGAGAGAGACAAGCTTCTGAGTATACATAGAGCTCAAAGAAGACCTGAAGAAGTTAGTCCAATAAAATATATTACCTCCCTGAGCTTGTCTCGTTAATCAGAATTAAATGCAGTTTTACTTAGTCTTCTGCATTTATGGGAACTCTCTGCAAGCTTGCGGCATCTTAAATGTTCCAGGAACCAAAACAATGTGGAATTCTGGAGACCTTTCCCAGGCACATTTTGGGGAAGGAAATTCACTCTCAACTAGAAAAGGGAGAAATTGAGAGTTTCAATAAAATTTATTTTGTGCTTGCTCTGCTGATCAGTGGCTTCTTTTACAGAGCACTATGCACTATAGTTTCCTAAAGGGACATGGGAAAGCAAAGCAGCAGTAGCACTGGGTGTATGTGGTTAATTCAATTCTAAGATTCATCTCCTGGCTCGTAGAAGTGCTTATCAGTGGAGCCCGTTTACATACACAACTCCTTCACATGCACGCACCGGTCCGGTTGTTGTGACTGTATCAGGATGTAAGCTTGAGGCATCTGACTCACAATGGGTGGTTGCACTGTTAACTCCTAAATGGTTTGCAGTTAGTGGTGTGTATCCCTACTACACTAAGGTGTGAGGGGATAACTTCTTTCCTTTCAGGAGAAATGGTTCTAAGGAAGACTAATGCATTCACTGGCATCACCTCAGTGGTGTGCAAATACTTAATGCAAGTGCCAATAAGGAGATCAAGCCCAAGAGCACACTACTGGGTCCCCAGGCCTCCAGCCAGCAGTGCTTGCCTTCTTGACGAGCAGACCAAGAAAAGACAATCTAAACAAGAACACCAACTTCAAAGCCAGGTGCATGGTTACCCTTGAAGCCAGATATAAGACTTGGAGGCACTGAAAGGAATAAAACTGTAAGGGGAAGGAAAAGGTACACTTGGGGCTCTGTCTCGGATGTAGGAGTAGAGGTGGAAACCCACACATACCTTTTTAAAAAAAAATCAATATGTTGTGGTTTGCAGAGAGGAATGTGAGATGTTTCAAAGGCAGCACACGGAGAGACTGAAACAGGAAGAAAGGTTGCAAAGGTTTAGAGAAGAGGAACAGAAGAGGTAAAAACACACACCCCCCCAAAAAAAAAGCCCAACCCAAAACAATCCCAGTATTCCCAGATTTAGGACTACAATAGCACTTCCCCATCACACTGCTCCAGCCTTTATGACTTTCTACTCTTAGCCCCTTGGCTCCCCCATCACATGCCCCCTCGTCTGATTTCCACCAAAGAATCTATTTTACTGCTAACTAGGAGCATGGAGGTAGCTGTACCCCTTCTCCAAGCACTCATTTTTCATATAATATACAGTGTCATGCGGGGGGACATCTTAAACACTGTCTGAAAACCCTCCCGTGATGCATAGTTTGGGAATGTTATGTAACCTGTGTATGTTAAGTGAGCTATACTTTTAAAAAAAATAGTCCCACCATCTGAAATTAACTATTTAATGGAATGATAGGCAACAAGAGGGCAGACTACTACAGCTTCTGGAAGAGACTAAAGGAACCTATGAAGCACAAAGGATCTATCTGGAAGAACAACTATCACAGGCACTATTTGGAGAAACGGAGAGGAAGAGGAACTGCATGGCTGATACAGGATGTGAGTCAAACTGGAGTTGTAATTACCTCTTCACCCCCTCCACAGCAGCAGCAGCTGTATGGAAATAACATGCTTTCAGCCATAATCCCTTACATCTCTGCAGAGCTTTATTCTGAAGGATCCTAAAAGGCTTTAGTCTGCAATGTAGCAGGGTCACTTTCCTCTTCACAGAAACACAGTCTCTCTGCGGTGGGACACAGCCGTCCGTCTCGAGCAGTAGCACCACACAACGAGGTCCTTAGGAAGAGAGGAAAAGCTTCTCCAACTGAAGCTGCAGAAGGAACTTAGTTACTGTAGGCAGCACGAGTTCAAAAGTGGCCCGGATGTCACGGTTAACGTCTACTCTTACAAAAGAGGCCATCAAATATTTAATGACAAGTTGCTGAGGCCTAATTTTTATCTGTTGTCTAAAGAGGCCACCTCCAATAGCATATAAGCGCCCCCCATCCTCCACTGCCTTCATATGGAACTCTTAGCAAGAACCTCAGAAATCTGCCCAACATAGTTTTAATTCCCATAGGACACAACCCAGAGCATCATTATCGAAATTAGGGCTGTCAATTAATCGCAGTTAACTCAAAAAAATTAATTGCCGTTTTAATCGCACTGTTAAACAATAGAATACCAATTGAAATTTATTAAATATTTTGGATGTTTTTCTACGTTTTCACATATATTGTATTGTGTGTTGTAACTGAAATCAAAGTGTATATTATTTTTTATTAGAAATATTTGCACTGTAAAAATAACTAAAATTAATAGTATTTTTCAATTCACCTCATACAAGTGCTGTAGTGCAATCTCTTTGTCTTTGCAACTTGCAAATGTAGATTTTTTGTTACATAACTGCTCTCAAAAACAAAACAATGTAAAACTTCAGAGCCTACAAGTCCACTCAGTCCTACTTCTTGTTCAGCCAATTGCTAAGACAAACAAGTTTGTTTACATTTACAGGAGATCATGCTGCCCTCTTCTTATTTACAATGTCACCAGAAAGTGAGAATGGGCATTTGCATGGCACTTTTGTAGCAAGGTATTTACGTGCCAGACATGCTAAATATTAATATGCCCCTTCATGCTTCAGCCACCATTCCAGAAGACATGCTTCCAGGCTGAAGACGCTCGTTAAAAAAATAATGTGTTAATTAAATTTGTGACTGAAGTCCTTGGGGGAGAATTGTGTGACCCTGCTCTGTTTTCCCCGCATTCTGCCATATATTTCATGTTATAGCAGTCCTGGATGATGACCCAGCACATGCTGTTCATTTTAAGAACACTTTCACTGCAGATCTGACAAAATGCAAAGAAGGTACCAACGTGAGATTTCTAAAGATAGCTACAGCACTCAACCCAAGGTTTAAGACTCTGAAGTGCCTTCCAAAATCTGAGAAGGATGAGGTGTGGAGCATGCTTTCAGAAGTCTTAAAAGAGCAACACTCAGATGCGGAAACTACAGAGCCCAAACCACCAAAAAAGAAAACCAACCCTCTGCTGGTGGCAATGAAAATGAATGTGTGTCAGTCCACACTATGTTGGATGGTTATTGAGCAGAACCTGTCATCAGCATGGACGGATGTCCCCTGGAATTGTGGTTGAAGCACAAAGGGACATATGAATCGTTAGTGCATCCGACACGCAAATATCTTGAGACGCCAGCTAGAACAGCGCCATGAGAACGCCTGTTCTCACTTTCATGGAGCCTTTGTAAACAAGAAGCAGGCAGCATTATCTCCTGCAAATGTAAACAAACTTGTTTGTATGCACGATTGGCTGAACAAGAAGTAGGACTGAGTGGACTTGCAAGCTCTAAAATTTTACATTTGTTTTATTTTTGAATACAGATTTTTTGTACATAATTCTACATTTGTAAGTTCAACTTTCATGATAACGAGATTGCACTATAGTACTTGTATTAGGTGAATTAAAAATACTATTTCTTTTGTTTTTTACAGTGAAAATATTTATAATAAAAATATAAAGTGAGCACTGTACACTTTGTATTCTGTGTTGTAACATCCAAAAATATTTAAATAAATGGTATTCTATGATTGTTGAACAGCGTGATTAATTTTTTAATAGCGTGACAGCCCTAATAGAAATGTTTTCTGTGCTTGTTCTCTTGTAGTGTTGCAACAGAATTTTCACTGACCTTTGCCTTCCTGATCACTGCTGGTAAACTAGATGCCAGAAGACACAAATGGCTTTTGATGTCTAGATTATTTACTCACTTTTGCCATCTCAAATTACATCTTCCAGGAGAAACAATTGCGCTATGAAATACAGAGGAAGGCAGAGGCACAGATCAATGGGCTGCACGCTGAAATCAAAAGACTCATGGAGAAGAGGGTAATAAAAGAGCTGAATTTATTAAAATGAGCCCAAATGGACACTGCTAAGTACTACAGATCATAAAGAGCCCATGAGGGCTCATCGCCAACTCTTAAGAACATTCTGTTTAGAAAAGTTGATGCTTAAATAATTTATTTTTCTTCCTTCATTATCATCAGGCACTTATACATGAAAACAAGGTCTTTACTAATTAAGCTTTTGTTATTCTCCATCTTAGTTTTTAATTCCATTTGTGACAGCACAATCATTTCCACATCAATCAGTTTATAATCCTCAGAAACTTCTGGTAAAGTTTGTTAGTTTGGGGTGTTCTGATTAGCATCTGTGTCTTATGTCTTGGTCTTCAGGGATTCCATTCAATGGAGAAACCATATTTGAATTAAATTAGTCTTTTATAGTAGCTGGAGCAGAGGGCTGGGGGCTCAATACTCCTGGATTCTAATCCTGTCTCAATATATGTCTTTTTGCAAGTCACAGATCCCTTTCTATGCCTTAGTTTACACATCTCCAAAGTAGGAACAATAACTACTACAGCATATCCCACTGGGGTTATGAAGTTTAATGTTTATATGTGTTCTAAGATACCTGAATGAAGGGCATTATAGAAAAGCAATTTATTATAAATAACCTAATTTAATTCCTTTCAATCTTCTAGATTTATTAGTTACCCACAGAGAAAACGTACTGATCTGGTGCAGCATTGATTCTGCCTTGTACTAACACTGATGCAAATGAATGTTCTGTCAACAATACTACCAAACAGCCCAACCTTCCAGAGGTAGCTCAGAGAACCCTTGTTCAATAGACTGGGAGAGGTACCTTTGTGGAAGGAGTGAAACTCTCCCAGGCCCACTCTGTCTTGTCTGATATTGAAAAGCTGGCCCGCCACAGCTCTGACATGGGTATTCAGTTGGAGACATAGTGAAGGCAGAGAGCTAATCTCAAAGCTGTTTAAAAAAATCTTGATTTAGAATGTTGCTTTCTGTTTCTCTTGTAGCTTTCTATTGATGCATACTCAGAGGGAAGGTAAGATGCTGTGCAATATGTTACCAAAGAGAACACTCAGGGGGGAAAAATGATCTTAGTCAAGATAACATCCCCAAGACTTTCCAGAGTGGTTTTGTAATGCACCAGAGTGATTAATGCCTTAAAAAAATCCCAAATGAAATACAGCAAACTACAATGTAACAAATATTTTAACAATTCCAGCCAAATATTTCTAAGTCATATGACCAAAAGTGGGAAGAGGATTTATTCTCCAGAACCATGGGGCAAAATTTCCATAGAACTGGAGGACTGAATGGCTCAGGGGATTGGTAATGATATAAGGCCACTTTCAGTCAGAGTTCCACTCACACAGTATGGCCTAGTAGATGGAGAACTAGACTCAGGAGACTTGTGTTCTATTCCTGGCTCTGCCACCAGGCTGCTGGGTGACCTAGGACGAGTCATTTCACCTCTCTGGGCTTCAGTTTCTCCATCTGTAAAATAAGGATAATGACACAATCCACTGGCTGGAAGTTGATGATAGCCAAGTTAAGACTAGAAATAAGGCATACATTTTTAACAGTAAGGGTAATTATCTATTGGAACAATTTACCAGGGGCTGTGGTAGATTCTCCATCATTGCTTTTTAAATCCAGATTGGATGTTTTTCTAGAAGATATGACCTAGGAATTATTTTGGAGCAGTTCTCTAGCCTATGTTATACAGAAGGTCAGATTAGATAATCACAGGGCTCCCTTCTGGACTTGGAATCTATGAATACAGACGAAGATGACAGCAGCTCAAAGTCATTACTATCTAAGTACTTATTGTACCTGATACACATTTTGTAGTCTCTGAGTGGAACCAATGACTGAAAGTGGCTTTATATCATTACCAATCCCCTGAGCCATTCAGTCCTCCAGTTCTATGGAAATTTTGCCCCACAGTTCTGGAGAATGAATCCTGTTAAATGAGCTGGTGGAATGGAGTCTTCCTCATAAACTCCAACAACATAAGTAGAGCCCTACGCAGATACAAATTTATATCCATGGATGCAGATATTTCACAGATATAAATTGGTATCTGTAGAACTGCAGAGCTCTCCCAGGGGTGAAATAAGCATAATGCAGGGCTGCCGCTACCAGGAGCTAGCGCTGCATGCTGGGAGCTCCCCCAGTGTGCCTGTACCGCCCCCAGCCCTGCCCCCGTCCCATCCACGCAGGTAACTGCGTCTCCCGTCTGGGGGCGTGTGCGCCGCTTGAACACAAGAGCACGACCAGGGACAGCTGCTGGTGATCCTGGTGCCGCCCCACTAAGCAGGGCTGGCGTCGGTACAGCTGTGCCAGAGGAGCTGCCGGCATGGGGCGCTAGCTCCTGGTAGCAGCAGCCCCGCATTATGCTCATTTCACCGCTGCAGTTCTTGGGAGAGCCCTGAGGTTCTGCGGATACCAGTCTACATCCGTGGATATAAATTTGTGTCAGAGCAGGACTCTAAACATAAGTGGCACTAACTGGCACCTTTAAACAGAGAGGTTAAGGATTAAGAGTGTGATTCACAAAGGGCACAGAGACTGAGCTATCCACTGCCCCTATATGGTTTCTTTCAGCTGAGGGTTATGGTACACTAGTTGGGAGTGCATGGAAAGATTGCACTGCTGCTGACCATGCTGTACCCATTCTGTGGATAAGAGAAGACATCAGTTTTCAGGACTGTCAAGCCAACGAGTTTCATTAGCATCAAATTCACTTAAAAATAAAAACTGAAAATCTGTATTGCTTACATAGGATCCTTTTTATGTTATTTATGATATTATGCCTCAAGCAAAAGGAAGGACTCAGGTATCTCCTGATCTGGAATTCATTCACCTGTTATTGTCCCTCTTTATGCACAAGTTTGTAGGACAAAGAAAGGACAGGGAGTGAAAAGGAGGGGATGGTCTGACAATGAAAGGCAGGTTATCACCCACCGTTCAGACAGAAAACACATTGCCTCAGTATCAGCAAAAAGGTGTGATAGAAAGAAGCAGCAAAGGGACTTCAGGAAAACAAATACAGCATGTGTCACAATGGAGTATGCCTCTGGAATACATGAGAATGTGTCTTTCCTCTCTTATAGCCTCACAGCACCTGCACCTTCGCTGCAGTCCCTGACTCCATCTCAGACGTTGCATCCTCAACCTTCTCCAGTACAAACACCACCTCCTACAGGTTAGTGAAAGTTACATGGCTCTTATCACGTACACATCTATATCATAAAGGCTTTATGGGAACATGGAGGGTACCCTGGGGAAAAATCTGATCGGCTCTTATTTTTATAATCAGTGATGCTCCACATTCCTTCCAGCTTTGAAGGACTGGGGGAGAGCTTTGAAATCAGCTGATGACTCGGGCTGCCTTTGAAATCAGTCAAACTTGCTCTTCAGTATCCCAGAGGAGTTAGCTAGGTGTTTCTCTTCCCAGGAAGGGCTAACAATACTGCAAAATTAACTTGTGGAACTCATTGCTACAACATATTACTGAAGCCAAGAGCTTATCAGGTATTTTGTTTTGTTTTTTTAAAGTATCAGGCATTATATATGAATAATTAGAACATCCACAGCTACCTTAGGCTGGATTTCCCTATTCCTTTTGTGGCATTTTTCCTTGGAGGGGGTTATTTAGTCTAGAGCAGGGGCTCTCAAAGTTCATTGCACCGTGACCCCCTTTTGACAACAGAAATTGCTTCACGACCCCAGGAGGGGGGACCAAAGCCTGAGCCCGCCCAAGCCCCACTGCCCTGGGTGAGGGGGCCAAAGCCCAAACTCTACTGCTTTGGGCAGGGGACCAAAGCTGAAGCTCAAGGGCTTCAGCCCCAAGCAGGGGGCCTGCAACCTGAGCCCCGCTGCCCAGGGCTGAAGCCCTCGGGCTTTGGCTTTAGCCCTGGGCAGATGGGCTCAGACTTCAGCCTTAGGCCCCAGCAAGTCTAAGCCAAGCCTGCCAACCCCATTCAAAAGGGGCTGCGACCCACTTTGGGGTCCTGATCCACAGTTTGAGAACCGCTGGTCTAGAGTTACCAAATATAACCAGGATAGCTCCTTAACTAACCCACCACCATTGGCAGCTGCTTTAGGTACAGTATAGTGCACTATTTCACTAGTATGGAAAGATTAAGCTGGAGATATTTTTTTTTAATGAAGCACAAGAGAGAGGGACAAATACAAATATATACAAGATATAAACCTTCATGTTTTAGAGCATAAACCAGCAACTAACAGCCTGGGACTGGGAAAAACTTTTGTGTAAGATCATTCCATAACTGTCCATCAGGGAGTTTCATGGAAACCTTTCCTCATCAGGGTTGAGCCTCATCACCCGTACGTTATTTATCTCTAAAGAGATTAAGAAATTTATTCCTGGCCTGAAAAGTGGTGAGTCTACATTTGTAGCCTTTGCTTTAGTTACAGATGGCACAAATAGGACCAGGGAAATTCATGGCAAAACAGCAAAAACCATAACACTGGATCTACTTGAACAACTAATGCAGGCTGCAAACACAAGTAAGTAATATGGTTTTCTGAAAAGCTAGAAATCAAATAAAGTCCCTGAAATATCTGTTGACTGATCATATTTCTCTTTTTACCAATAAGTTTCAAATAGTTTTCTGTTGTGATTAATACTATATATATATCGCATATGCTGTTTGCAGTACAGAAAAGTGACTTACCAGTAACTGAAGTTTAAGTATATATATTGCCTCTATCCATCTATACCATGGGTAAGTGGTTCAGAACCATCTCCAAAACAGTGATTGCTATAGACTTGCTCCACTTGTGCACCCCAATGGAGATTAGACCAAAAAATAATTCTACACCATGGATGTCAGGTACATAATGGCTCTGGACAAATCCTGTTATGGTCACTGCACTGAAAAAAAAAAGCTGATTTACATAAATATCATAAATATAAGGATATCCCTTTACTAGTACCAGTGAATGTCATATCTAAAATTAAGATATTACTAAATATATCCTCTGTCAGGACTGGATTAATAACCAGGGTTCTAACCTCTCATGGTATTAATTTAAATTATAAAATTCCATCAAATTTTAGCATTACATTACAATATTTGAAGTTTTCTACATCTATATAGCTCCCAAACCCAATCCTCTCCTAATCTGGACTTCTATTACTACGTCTATCTAATCTAGCTACATGCTAACAAGAATTATCAGTTGACTGAATTATTTTGATAGAAAACTACTTGGAGGATGATTTGCTCTCTTCTGCATGGCTATCCAAGGAAAGGATTATAGAGGACATTTTCCCAACTGTTTTCAAGATGATATAAGCTTCTGATGCTGGGCAGTGCGTATCTTGATAGACAAAGCCTAAAAGTCTTTCTAGGTCCCAATTATCCAAAACAGCATTTCTATCTAGTTCTACTTCCCCACCAATGTGCCTGTTCTGGAGGAACCACCCATCTGTAAGGTTAAGAGGGTAACTGCATTCTTCTCTAGGTAAAAATGTCATAGAATCATAGAATCATAGAATATAAGGGTTGGAAGGGACCCCAGAAGGTCATCTAGTCCAACCCCCTGCTCAAAGCAGGACCAATTCCCAGTTAAATCATCCCAGCCAGGGCTTTGTCAAGCCTGACCTTAAAAACCTCTAAGGAAGGAGATTCTACCACCTCCCTAGGTAACGCATTCCAGTGTTTCACCACCCTCATAGTGAAAAAGTTTTTCCTAATATCCAATCTAAACCTCCCCCACTGCAGCTTGAGACCATTACTCCTCGTTCTGTCATCTGATACCATTGAGAACAGTCTAGAGCCATCCTCTTTGGAACCCCCTTTCAGGTAGTTGAAAACAGCTATCAAATCCCCCCTCATTCTTCTCTTCTGCAGGCTAAACAATCCCAGCTCCCTCAGCCTCTCCTCGTAACTCATGTGTTCCAGACCCCTAATCATTTTTGTTGCCCTTCGCTGGACTCTCTCCAATTTATCCACATCCTTCTTGAAGTGTGGGGCCCAAAACTGGACACAGTACTCCAGATGAGGCCTCACCAATGTCGAATAGAGGGGAACGATCACGTCCCTCGATCTGCTCGCTATGCCCCTACTTATACATCCCAAAATGCCATTGGCCTTCTTGGTAACAAGGGGGCACACTGCTGACTCATATCCAGCTTCTCGTCCACTGTCACCCCTAGGTCCTTTTCCGCAGAACTGCTGCCTAGCCATTCGGTCCCTAGTCTGTAGCTGTGCATTGGGTTCTTCCGTCCTAAGTGCAGGACCCTGCACTTATCCTTATTGAACCTCATCAGATTTCTTTTGGCCCAATCCTCCAATTTGTCTAGGTCCTTCTGTATCCTATCCCTCCCCTCCAGTGTATCTACCACTCCTCCCAGTTTAGTATCATCCGCAAATTTGCTGAGAGTGCAATCCACACCATCCTCCAGATCATTTATGAAGATATTGAACAAAACCGGCCCCAGGACCGACCCTTGGGGCACTCCACTTGATACCGGCTGCCAACTAGACATGGAGCCATTGATCACTACCCGTTGAGCCCGACAATCTAGCCAGCTTTCTACCCACCTTGTAGTGCATTCATCCAGCCCATACTTCCTTAACTTGCTGACAAGAATACTGTGGGAGACCGTGTCAAAAGCTTTGCTAAAGTCAAGAAACAATACATCCACTGCTTTCCCTTCATCCACAGAACCAGTAATCTCATCATAGAAGGCGATTAGATTAGTCAGGCATGACCTTCCCTTGGTGAATCCATGCTGGCTGTTCCTGATCACTTTCCTCTCATGCAAGTGCTTCAGGATTGATTCTTTGAGGACCTGCTCCATGATTTTTCCAGGGACTGAAGTGAGGCTGACTGGCCTGTAGTTCCCAGGATCCTCCTTCTTCCCTTTTTTAAAGATTGGCACTACATTAGCCTTTTTCCAGTCATCCGGGACTTCCCCGGTTCGCCACGAGTTTTCAAAGATAATGGCCAATGGTTCTGCAATCACAGCCGCCAGTTCCTTCAGCACTCTCGGATGCAACTCGTCCGGCCCCATGGACTTGTGCACGTCCAGCTTTTCTAAATAGTCCCTAACCACCTCTATCTCCACAGAGGGCTGGCCATCTCTTCCCCATTTTGTGATGCCCAGCGTAGCAGTCTGGGAGCTGACCTTGTTAGTGAAAACAGAGGCAAAAAAAGCATTGAGTACATTAGCTTTTTCCACATCCTCTGTCACTAGTTTGCCTCCCTCATTCAGTAAGGGGCCCACACATTCCTTGGCTTTCTTCTTGTTGCCAACATACCTGAAGAAACCCTTCTTGTTACTCTTGACATCTCTGGCTAGCTGCAGCTCCAGGTGCGATTTGGCCCTCCTGATAACATTCCTACATGCCCTAGCAATATTTTTATACTCTTCCCTGGTCATATGTCCAACCTTCCACTTCTTGTAAGCTTCTTTTTTATGTTTAAGATCCGCTAAGATTTCACCATTAAGCCAAGCTGGTCGCCTGCCATATTTACTATTCTTTCGACTCATCGGGATGGTTTGTCCCTGTAACCTCAACAGGGATTCCTTGAAATACAGCCAGCTCTCCTGGACTCCTTTCCCCTTCAAGTTAGTCCCCCAGGGGATCCTGGCCATCCGTTCCCTGAGGGAGTCGAAGTGTGCTTTCCTGAAGTCCAGGGTCCGTATCGTGCTGCTTACCTTTCTTCCCTGTGTCAGGATCCTGAACTCAACCAACTCATGGTCACTGCCTCCCAGATTCCCATCCACTTTTGCTTCCCCCACTAATTCTACCCGGTTTGTGAGCAGCAGGTCAAGAAAAGCGCCCCCCCTAGTTGGCTCCTCGAGCACTTGTGCCAGGAAATTGTCCCCTACGCTTTCCAAAAACTTCCTGGATTGTCTATGCACCGCTGTATTGCTCTCCCAGCAGATATCAGGAAAATTAAAGTCACCCATGAGAATCAGGGCATGCGATCCAGTAGCTTCCGTGAGCTGCCGGAAGAAAGCCTCATCTACCTCATCCCCCTGGTCCGGTGGTCTATAGCAGACTCCCACCACTACATCACTCTTGTTGCACACACTTCTAAACTTAATCCAGAGACACTCAGGTTTTTCTGCAGTTTCGTACCGGAGCTCTGAGCAGTCATACTGCTCCCTTACATACAGTGCTACTCCCCCACCTTTTCTGCCCTGCCTGTCCTTCCTGAACAGTTTATAACCATCCATGACAGTACTCCAGTCATGTGAGTTATCCCACCAAGTCTCTGTTATTCCAATAAGAAAAGGAGTACTTGTGGCACCTTAGAGACTAACCAATTTATTTGAGCATGACCTTTCGTGAGCCACAGCTCACTTCATCAGATGTGACACATCTGATGAAGTGAGCTGTGGCTCACGAAAGCTCATGCTCAAATAAATTGGTTAGTCTCTAAGGTGCCACAAGTACTCCTTTTCTTTTTGCGAATACAGACTAACACGACTGTTCCTCTGAAACCTGTTATTCCAATCACGTCATAGTTCCTTGACATCACCAGGACCTCCAGTTCTCCCTGCTTGTTTCCAAGGCTTTGTGCATTTGTATATAAGCACTTGAGATAACCTGTTGATCGCCCCTCATTCCCAGTATGAGGCAGGAGCCCTCCCCTCACAGACATTCCTGCCTGTCCTTTCACTTGATGTGTTCTTTCTGGCTCTATATTTATAGCCTGCTGAACAAAACTTGCAATGAAAATCAAATGTCAGTGAAAATGTAAAAATGAAGTTGTTTTTTTTTAAATCAGCACCTCTGTGGAGCAATGATGACATCCTGTGGCTTAAAATGTAATTGCTTCTGCTTAAGAAAATAGGCCCTCAGGGGAGACTCTCTAAGCCCATGTGTCTAGTTAACCCCAAAGAGAGTTGCAGGCCTGCACTGAGAGAACAGGTTCCAATGATTTATTCCTAGTATTAAAGTGGGTATTAACTGCTTGTCTTGTTTAAAACAGCACTATTCCAAATAAGCTTCAAGGATACAATTATATTCCATAAGGAATTAAAATTGTTGTAAATTTACGTTTCTGATGCCCAGTGTCCAAAAGGAATTTATTTTTTGTGTTTTTCAGTTGCTAATGGGAGCAATGCAGCTGAGCATGACTCTTTGAATGCAGCTACCAAAGAACATCTTTGGAACTACAACCAGGACTGCAAAAATGCAGAGGTATTACATATGCTTACTCACCCTTTGCCTCTCCCCTTAATGCTATAACCCTATGGTTATGCAGTGTACATTTAGGGGGGAAAGTACTGTTTATCTTCTATCAGTGACTACTGCAGCAGTGTAAATGATGCAGCCACTTAATCCTCATACTGTTGTCAGGCCTGGACTACAAAGTTGCAGCAGTTTATGTAAGGGTGTGATTTTTTTAAAAAACTGATTTAACAGGGCACAAATTGCAGGTGGACTAGACTCACCCAACCATCTTTAATAATGTAAGGTTACGACAACACAGACTCTTAAAGCATCATAAACGATGGGGAAGGAAACCCAAGAAAAAAGGCACATGGCCCAAAAACAAATTCCTGAGGTCAGAAAAAAATCTGCCATGTTTCAATACTAATGCCCCTCCTGAAAAGTAACAGTGTAGGGTAATGTTTTAGATTTAGATATGTATTTGATATATATTTAAACAATCTTGCATTAGGAAATGAACGACTGGCTGGGAGAGTTGGTAGCCTAAGAGGGAAACAATCCATATTAATGCAAGTAGGCCATTAATACACACGAAGAGTCCACGCAAATGTTGTTTCATAAAACATTGATAAAAAAATACCCTGCTGCTATCAAAGTCTTAGTTTACATTCTGAGATTGTTACAGAATAGTAAAAGTCCTTTTTTAGATGTTTCCAAACAAATCTTTTAAAAAGCCTGTTTTACTATTTTTACAACTCAAAGTCTTCATTAAGTAAGATGTAAAGTATTAAATATTGCTACAATATTGTCTTCAATTTAAGAGTTCCTTTTTTGCCTTAACAGATTTAAGTATTTGGGCATCAGATAAACACAGAAGACAGAGAAAAAATTCCAGAACCCAAAAGACAACTAAGGGAAAAATTAACCACAGCTATCAGCAGAAATGCAGAGGCCCATTACAAAGTGCAGTTTGAAGCAGTGAGGATGTTATCAGAGCCTGATTATATGGTATGATGCTCTGTACCTCGGGAGAACACCCAGCACCCCCATGTCCATCCTTGTAAAATGATTGTGTGGCATCCAATGCAAAGTTTGTCATGTTGGGTGTCCTCGGAAGGCTCATGATGCACTGATCATTGTTGTTACAGTAATGTTACAGGTTATAATTTCATGTATGTAGTTATGAGGCTGAAAACGTATCCTCACGGCTTAAAATAAGCCCAGGCAAAAACTCTCCAAGAGCAGAGAGGCAGTTCACACCTCATTAGGGCAGGAATGGGACAAACCCAGCCCAGCCTCACAGGAACAAAGGACACTGGCCTAAACAGCAATAAAAGAATGGTTTCAGAGGAACAAAAGTCTGTATTCGCAAAAAGAAAAGGAGTACTTGTGGCACCTTAGAGACTAACCAATTTATTTGAGCATGAGCTTTCGTGAGCTACAGCTCACTTCATCAGATGTTTACCGTGGAAACTGCAGCAGAAGGGTGAGAAAACCTGGATTTGTGCTGGAAATGGCCCACCTGTTGATCATTTTAGATAAGCTATTACCAGCAGGACAGTGGGGTGGGAGGAGGTATTGTTTCATATTCTCTGTGTGTATATAAAGTCTGCTGCAGTTTCCACGGTAAACATCTGATGAAGTGAGCTGTAGCTCACAAAAGCTCATGCTCAAATAAATTGGTTAGTCTCTAAGGTGCCACAAGTACTCCTTTTCTTTTTGCAATAAAAGAATGTTAGACTCTCAAGGGAGTCACCCCCCTTCCTTTGGTCAGTTTGGAACTGCAGTGAGGTAATGCTCACGTGACACTGAAGGGGGGGGGGGAGGAGGTACACACATGCACAAAGCCAAGGGAGAGATTTGCTATGCTCTTCCACCTACATCCAGACACCACCACACCAAGGGTATGTCTATACTGGAAACTTCAAATAGCTAACGCAGGAATGCTCCTGCAGCAGCACTTTGAAGTGCTAACATGGTCACGCTCGAGTGCTGGGAGAGCACTCCTGGTAATCCACCTCCACAAGGGGATTTGCTCTGAGCACTGCTCAGAGCCTGTCTACACGAGTGCTTTAAAGCACTGACTTGCTGTGCTCAGGGGGGTGATTTTTCACCCCGCAGAGCCAGCAAGTTAGAGCACTATAAACTATAAGTGTAGACAAGCCCTAAGCAACTGAAGCGCTGATCAAAGGGGAGAGGCAGGCTGAAGAGCAACCAGCCAACCTGTGGTGAGAAGCATCTAAGTTTGTACAGGCATTGAAAGTGTTAACAGCTTAGAATACATTTTGCTTTTATTTCATTTGACCAAATCTGATTTATGTTTTGATTTATAATCACTTAAAATCTTTTTATAGTTAACAATCTGTATTTATTCCACCTAAAGCAATGCATTTGGTTTGAAGTGTCAAGAGATTCCCTTTGGGATTACAAGCCTGGTACATTATCAATTTGTTAAACTGACAAACTCATAAACTTGCAGCATCCAGCAGGCACAACTGAACATTGCAAGATGGAGGTTCCTAGGGTTGTCTGGGACCAAGATATTGGCTAGTCATTCGGTTATAAGTAGCTGGGAGGAACTTACATACCATAGGCTGTGTGTGTGAACAGCCCAGGAGTGGGGGTTCTCACAGCAGAGCAGGGTAAGGCTGGCTCCCAGAGTCAAGGGTTAGAGTGACGTAGCAGATCACCAGCCCAGGTATCAGAGGGGAATATCACAATTTGGCTACTAATCTTGTGCTCAGTTTAACCTACCATTATTACTGGGCTCTGAGAATAATAAATCTGTATTATAGATGGGGCTGCTAGCATGTTAAGGTTGTTCCTGCCCACTTCCCATTACAGACCCAGTTTTCAGTTGCTTGTAACTTTGTGCACATGTACGTATCTCCAAAAATTCACAACATCCCAGAAAAGCCTGGAGACCTGTTTTAGCAGGAATCTTTTGCAACAGACCTATTATAGTTAGGAACAATCAGTTTTGCTACAAACTCAGTACAAGAACTGTATCATACTACTAGCTGGCTGCCAAAGCACTTTACAAATTAAATGCTACAATTTTACTTCTGGGAAAAGAGACAGCATAAAGTGACTCACTTTGAATGCAGCAAAGTCACTGAGAGCGTAAAATAAGCCAATCACCACAAATTACCAGACCAAATCATTTTCAGTTATGTTTACTTATGTAGAGGGGAATCAAATAATTTTCTCTACCATCATGTCAATGTTTTGCTGATAGAAACTATTTACAAAGGGAGTCACTTTTACCCTTTGGTGTAGAAGTTATTTTAAGGAGTCTGTAAGCAGGAGTTAAAATGTATTTTGTTAATGGGATAACACACCATTTGATGCTGACATTGATAATGTAACTTCCCATAGAAATGTTTAAGGTTGAAACTCCCTCAACCTAGAATTAGTTGTTACAGGAAATATCCCACCTATTTATGAAGAACCCACAAACTGAAACAGTGAAGTTTCCTCAACAAGAGCACCAGTGGATATGGTTACACTATATTCTATAAGCTTTTCATTATGAGTTTAGTTCTGTGTATTTATGCACCATAAATTACACAATATTGAGTTGCTATACAGTATATTTTCAACACCCACATTTGCTGGAGCTAACACTGGTTCTGCTATACTTGAGAAAAAACAAAGTGCTTTACATGAAAGCATGACGTAGTAGTAGGCAAGTTATCGGGCATAGAAACACTCCAGATATCACACAACACCTTTACTTAAAACTAAAGCCCACTATTTAACTAATACCAGATTAGTTAATAAGAATAAGTGTAGCACTAGTAAATGACTGTTAGCTCTTACAAAGCTAGAAAGACTTTCAGTCTCTGCTCAAAATCAGGGCCAAAATTTAATGTATGTGTTTAATACCCCATGTGTGAATGAGTGATTCATTGATTTTTTTTATTAGTAAACTGTAAAAATCCAGTGAAGTGTTTTCCTCTTAATTCAGTACTGTTGATGCAATCTACAGATTGAAAAGAAGAAACGGCAGAGAACTGAGAATATGTTCAGTTCTCCCAGTCCCTTCTGTTCCCACTAAGGAAACAATTCAAATGTCAAACAGCAAGACTTACTCTTGGCTTTTTCCTTAGATTAGTGTAAGCAACATTATTAAAGTTGGCATAATCTAGAGGAAAAAAGCTTCTACTAAGCATTGCATAAGAACACAAGCCATTCAACTGTTTATAGCCAGAGGAACCAGATTCTGCTCAAGAGACCAAAGGGGTTATAGTAATTATAACATCCTTAAACATACCAGCAGAATTTCCATAATAAACGGAGAATAGTCTAGATAAGTGTTACCTTACTTTGCATAATTCTGACTTGTTGAAAGTAAGATCAACATCAGAAATTAGTAGCTAAACCTCCACACGCCCCTCCATGAAACAAGTTTTTTTATTGCATGAAGATTGGGTAAAATGTACTAGAGTTTCACAGTTAGCAAAGACCATCAGGTAATGTGCAACAAAAATCTTTATTAGCATTCACAGACTGTTCAGCAGTTACTGCAACTTGTATTTAACTTACAATATTAAGACATTAAAGGGCTACAGTGCAAAAACAAATGCTATTGGCAATCATGTAAAGCATGGTCCACAATAACTAACAGCCACCCCTCAGACGCAGCACAAGATGGAGGGTGGATTCCTTCTGGATGTTGTAGTCAGACAGGGTACGGCCATCTTCCAGCTGCTTGCCTGCAAAGATCAGCCTCTGCTGGTCGGGTGGGATGCCTTCTTTGTCCTGGATCTTAGCCTTGACATTCTCAATAGTGTCACTGGGCTCAACCTCTAGGGTGATGGTCTTGCCGGTCAGGGTCTTCACAAAGATCTGCATACCACCTCTCAGACGCAGCACAAGATGGAGGGTGGATTCCTTCTGGATGTTGTAGTCAGACAGGGTACGGCCATCTTCCAGCTGCTTGCCTGCAAAGATCAGCCTCTGCTGGTCAGGTGGGATGCCTTCTTTGTCCTGGATCTTAGCCTTGACATTCTCAATAGTGTCACTGGGCTCAACCTCTAGGGTGATGGTCTTGCCCGTCAGGGTCTTCACAAAGATCTGCATACCACCTCTCAGACGCAGCACAAGATGGAGGGTGGATTCCTTCTGGATGTTGTAGTCAGACAGGGTACGGCCATCTTCCAGCTGCTTGCCTGCAAAGATCAGCCTCTGCTGGTCGGGTGGGATGCCTTCTTTGTCCTGGATCTTAGCCTTGACATTCTCAATAGTGTCACTGGGCTCAACCTCTAGGGTGATGGTCTTGCCGGTCAGGGTCTTCACAAAGATCTGCATACCACCTCTCAGACGCAGCACAAGATGGAGGGTGGATTCCTTCTGGATGTTGTAGTCAGACAGGGTACGGCCATCTTCCAGCTGCTTGCCTGCAAAGATCAGCCTCTGCTGGTCGGGTGGGATGCCTTCTTTGTCCTGGATCTTAGCCTTGACATTCTCAATAGTGTCACTGGGCTCAACCTCTAGGGTTATGGTCTTGCCCGTCAGGGTCTTCACAAAGATCTGCATACCACCTCTCAGACGCAGCACAAGATGGAGGGTGGATTCCTTCTGGATGTTGTAGTCAGATAGGGTACGGCCATCTTCCAGCTGCTTGCCTGCAAAGATCAGCCTCTGCTGGTCAGGTGGGATGCCTTCTTTGTCCTGGATCTTAGCCTTGACATTCTCAATAGTGTCACTGGGCTCAACCTCTAGGGTTATGGTCTTGCCCGTCAGGGTCTTCACAAAGATCTGCATACCACCTCTCAGACGCAGCACAAGATGGAGGGTGGATTCCTTCTGGATGTTGTAGTCAGATAGGGTACGGCCATCTTCCAGCTGCTTGCCTGCAAAGATCAGCCTCTGCTGGTCGGGTGGGATGCCTTCTTTGTCCTGGATCTTAGCCTTGACATTCTCAATAGTGTCACTGGGCTCAACCTCTAGGGTGATGGTCTTGCCAGTCAAGGTCTTCACAAAGATCTGCATATTGAACTATACAGAAAGAGGTATCAGAAAGAGTTCTAACTTCCCACATTGATTAAACTTGCTACAGAACACAAGTCATCCCATAACACAGACCCTTAAGCTTCACATCAACATTTCAGATTAGAAAACTGAAGCTCAGTAATCAGAATACCAAAAACTCTTCCCTGGTCTCTATATTTAAATAAAGAAAATGTTTTGGGGAGACATTTCCATAACTGGTTCCCTGGACCCTAACCAGCCCCTATGTTGCTGGCTTAAGAACATGTCTGTCTCCTGTCCACAAGGGGTGGTATCAGACGTTAGCAAGTTCAAGCCCTTTCCCCGGCAGCCGGGAACCCAGCTCTTCCCTTTCGCGGCTTCACCAGCGCTCCCGTCCTCAGGGGAGGGAACGCCGCGCCACCCACCCGCGCTCTTCGGCGCCTTTACTTACCCGAGCGCTCACTCGGTCGCCCCAATCCCAGTCTCCGCGACCCTTCTGGGCGACACACGCGGGTTACCGGAGCTTGGGACCGCCCCGCTTCCCTCCCCAGTCACAATGAGCGCCAGTGACTCAGCACTCTTCACTTCCGGGAAGGCAACGCAATGGCGGCCCGCCGCCTCCGCTATCTTAGACCGGGCCCCCTTCCCGCACAGACGCGGAGAGGGGCAAAACCCAGAGGCTGTGCCCCCAACTCCCCTAAGCGGATCTGTGCCGTCCCCACACTAATCGCCCCTACTCTCCCGAGCGAGTGGCCTCCCCACTTTCCCCTTCACACTGCCCTGTGTCGCTTCTTACCGTTAACCTCCCGCGGCTTGGACACTTACGTGGAAGGCTATAAAATCAGCCTGTCAACGCCGATACCGCTCACCTTTAACAACACTGTCCGCTTGTGAACTACGCAGCTCTCTGCTCACCGGCTCCTATTTATAAGACTGGGGACGCCAGACGCCCCACCCATTCACGCACAGATAGTGTCAGTCCGCTGCAGAAAATAGTCCCAAGCAATGGCCCTGCACCAAAGGAGGGATACAGGCCCTTCCCCGTCACAAATCCTTTCCTGAAGTCTCAGGGTATGTCTGTTCCTCCCTGTGAGAAATCCACAGCTCTCCCTCCGAATAATCGAAATCTCTCAGGCGCGGAAGGATATCGGGGTACGGTGAGAAAGCTACCAGATAGCTCTGGAAGCTTCGTCGACTGAGAGGACGGTAGGCGGGGTTATGCCAGTTGTCGGCGTTGATTGGTGCAGAGGAAGAGAGACGGGCCATTGATTGGTTCACAGAGTCAGGCGGGCGAGGCCACGAAGAAAGCTCTGGAACCAGGACGGGGAGAGAGGGGTGATTCTCGTCGCTGATTGGTACAGGGTGAGGTAAGCCTTGTTGCTAAGGGGTGCCGCCTCAGAGAAGCAGATTCCGGGCGGGGGAAGAGAAGGGGTGTTGCGCGCGCGGGAGCGCGTGGAAAACAGTGTCCTGCAGTGGTGGGGGAGGGGTACCGAGGGCCTTCATGGGGGTGGGCCCTCACGGGGAGGCTGGGGCCCAACAAGGCCAATGGCCTGTGGGTAGCGATGGCTTTCCTCCCCTCCCCTGGCAGCCAGGATGGGGGAGGGCTTGGGCTCTGGAAGGGGGAAACCCCCCCTCATACGCTATCATGCGGCTGCCCTGAGCAGGGGCCCGGAAACCATTCGTGCCAACTGCTCTGGCCCCCGGCCACCTTTCTCGAGCTGGAGTGATGAGCACCAAGGCGTGTGGTGCTGAGACACTGGGCCGGTGTCACGTCCAGTGGGATGTGTCAGCCCGTCAGTTAAACTGGCTCTAAGGGGCTGCTGTGTGGACGCACCTGGGTCTGTTAAAACTGGGCTTGGTTTATTATTTTAACTCAAATAACCTGCCCTTAGACCCAAATGAGAGTGGGGGACTCAATGGGTTTGCACTCCTGTAAGTTAAACTGGAGCAACTTCTGCATGTTCATTGTTGCCTTGCACCTCCTGTAGTTATGCCAGCACAAACTTGGTGTGAAAGGTCATCATCTATATGTTGCTGGCACCCAGTGCTGAGAGGCAAAACAACAGCAGGGTTTGGTTCGCTACCCGGTGTGCTTCACCCAATAATCACAATGGGGTGGAGAAGCAGAAAAGTTTATTTGAAGCTTCAAAAAGGTACAGGGAGAATAGAATCTCAAATCCAGGAAGTTACACAGGCTTTTATACATCATATCTTCAGCATACTTATCCAATAGCAAGCTGCCCTGAGTATCCATATAGCCAACAAATAGCTACATGCTCGTTCCCTTGTTTCTTGTATCATTTGTTAAACTATACATAAAGCTGCTTTATTCAGCATTTTTCTTCCATATCTGCCCTGTTTGGCCTTGTTTAGTTTCAGGCAGTCTGACTCTGCAACATATTGTTGCAGATCCTCAGCATAACTGCTGTGAGTATCTCCAGGTGGGGGGCCAAGGACACTTGGGCCTAGTACACATAGCTGCTGCGAGTGCCTCCAGGCCAGGGGGGACCAAGGACACTTGGGCCTAGTGCGAGGGGGCTTCATCGACACTCATGGTCTTCCATCCCCTCGAGTTACCATGCTCCAGTGTCCCCAATATATATGAGGCTTTGTGTGCATTACACACTTACTTCGGTATAACTACGTAGATGTATGACAAACGTTTAAGCAATGTTATATTTTGTTTTAAAATTTCTGATTTTTCGTGGATGGGTGGGTGTTTTGTTTTTGTTTGTGTTTCATTCCTAGTAGGTTATTATTTTCCTGTATATAGTGCTAAAAATGGGCTAAATGTTTGATCCATGGGAGCCCTGTATGTACTGAACTAAATTAAAGGGTTTAAAACTCAGCATAAAACATAATGAGCAACCTACATCTGTTCTGTGTAGAATGGAATAAACATGGAAGAAGCAGGAAAGAGTTTTTAAACTGTTTTAATTTAAATACCCAACCTCAACAAATAAAATTAGAACAAAGATCTTTGTATAGAGTCTGCCAAGTGGTAGTGTCAGGAAATATGAGTATAACTTTTTCAAGATCCAGAATCTATTAGAAAATAGCTGGAAACTGGATCTCTAGGGCTCTGGTAGGGATGCAGAGTATCTGTGGGTGGGAGGTATCTCTGTAATTGTTTCACTGTGATTAATAAACCAGAAAACACCAGAGTCTCTCTTATTGTTTCTAGGTGTGGTTCCCAGTAATATTAGCTAAACTGCTTTCCCTCAGTTACTGTTGGTTTTCTTTTTACCTATTCAAAACAGCAGATTAGAATCAAGTCTCAGTAGTTTCACCATAGTCTGATCTTAAAATAACTTGTTGCTGTTTCAGAATAATTGATGCTTCATGGAAGTGTCATTTTATTAAGCTAGTACAGGGATCTGCATGCCCACACAAAATGCAGACTCCACATTCAAAATAACAATGGTGTTTATATGAACTATGGTGAAATTAATTATCCTCCCAACACACACACGCACCCCCAATTGATTTTCTCAGATAACCAGATGTCCAAATAAGATAAACAATTACGTGGGCTTTGTGCAAAGAATTTGGTGTGGGGAAGGTGGAGGTTGGAGGAATGGAATTGACCCCCACAACGTGCATGTGGGCCACACAGCCACCATTCCAGCTTTGGGCTGGATTAGTGTCTGTTCCCGCTTTGCACCTCCTTGATTTGGTGCACTGGATTCACATAATTGTGGATTCAGTGGCCTCTCCCTTTACCTTTCTACCATGGCCATCTGTTCCATCTTATTTGGAATCACCACAGAACCCTCCTCTGTGCTGGGCAGAGGGTAGAGATAGCTCTCTCGTGCAGCCACTCTTATTAAATGTGTCATCCCACCCACCCTTCCGTTCTTTTCCTCTCTGTGCAGAGCAAATTCAAGGCCTGTTCTATACTTAAAAATTATGTCAACCTAGTTATGTGGCTCAAGACTGTGAAAAATTTCATGCCCTGAGTGTTGTCGTTAGGCCAACCTAACCCTAAGTTGATGTAGATATGGCTAGGTCAATGGAAGAATTTTATCCCGTCTCGGAGAGCTGGAAAAATCCTTTCCTAGCTGTAGCTGTGCCACTGTAGCAGCTGTAGTGTAGACATGCCCCAGGGCTGACATGGTGCACTCTGGACCTGGACACATTCCCTATATGCACAGAGGATTTAACTCTGCCTTTTTATTATCTTGATACTCTGGGTGGCACTTTCTTGCTATGGCAGTCACAAGCTTGTGTGTGTTTTACATGTAATATACCAGATTCTGTTTCATTTACAACAATGTGAATCCAGACAACTCCACTGGAGTCTGGTATATAGCTGAAAACAGAGTTTGGTCTCGTGAGTTAGTAAATGACAGTTTCAGCCTTAGCTCAGAATTTCTGTTGGTGAGAAAAACAAACTTTCGAGCTTACACAGCTTGTCTCAGGTTTTGTCTGCACTGGAACTTTGTTGGGAAAACTTTGTTGCTCGGGGTGTTAAAAAACACACACGCACCCTGAATGACAAAAGTTTTACTGACAAAAAGCGCCGGTGTGTACAGCACTTTCTGAGCAGGAGTACTCTCCTGCCAGCAAAGCTGCTGCCGCTCATTGAGGCTGGAAGACTTTTGTCTGCAGGAGAGCTCTCTCCTACCAACAAACAGCAGCTAAACTGCATGCCTTGTAGCGGCACAGCTGTGTCTCCAAAAGGTGCAAAATGTAGACAAAGCCTTAGGGCTAGTCTACACTAGCAATGTTAAAGCGCTGCCATGGCAGCGCTTTAATGTGGCTTGTGTAGTTGTGGCACAGCGCTGGGAGAGAGCTCTCCCAGTGCTCGAAAAAACCCACGAGGAGGCGTAGCTACCAGCAGTGCTGGTGCACTGTCTACACTGGCACGTTACAGTGCTGAAACTTGCAGTGCACGGGGGTGTGTTTTTTCACCCCCCTTAGCGAGAAATATGCAGCGCTGTAAAGTGCCAGTGTAGACAAGCCCTTAGTCTCTCATCAACAAAAGTTGGTCCAATACAAGATATTACCTCACCCACCTTGCCTCTCTAATATCCTGGGACCAACCTGCCTACAACAACACTGCATACAAATATGATAAACACAGATTAGGCAGGTCTGGATGTCTTTAATTCTTCAGGTAACATAATTTTCTTTCTACAAAGTATAAGCATTTTTTATTTTTTCATATGTTGTGCTGACAATTTTATGTGAAAAAGTATCACCAACCAGCAGTTGACTCTGAATAATATATAAAGAAATGTGAGTCTGGAAAAAATCCAGATCTTGTGACTGGTTTGACTGCACAGGTGGCTACAACATTTGCCGGATCATGGGACACAGCTAGGAACACAGCTTCCTTGTATAGTGGTTTCAAAAGTAGGTCATTGGGCAGTACTACAAAGCAACCCACTTGCTGAAAAGAGGGCTCCATGATCACAAGAAATTTATCAGACAGATTTGTACATTCCGGAGCACAAATCATAGGTGACCTATCCTGCAGTAGAGCCTGAGCAACTGCAAATCCGATGTGCTGGGACATTGCAAAATCAAGCAGTTTATTTGTACCTACAATGGCATAACCTGTGAAAGGCAGGCTGTTGGAAGATTTGAGTGTGACTACCGTAAATGCAGTATTTTTCCTGCAGGGAAGGGCTACTCTCTGATTAATTTTGCCACAAGGGAAAACCAGTATTTATTCCCAGTTCACTCCTAAACTTACTAAACACCTCTTTCTATAACATTAGGATAATCACTTCTACCTATGTCATAGGAGCACTTGTGAGGACTAATTAACTAGGCATAGTTCCACTTTGCAGTGGAAATAGGACCTATCCTTTTTTTAAGATCTATGCTAAAGCCTTAAACATGTCTGGATAGGTCTAGATGACAGAGTCTAAAATACCAGCAGCTAATTTACGTTAGTGCATCTGTCATGGCTAGGATTGGTGCTATAATAGTGGGATATTTAAAAAAAATCTCAGTGCAGTAAAGGCTTATGT